ACGAAGCGTCAAATGAAATTCCGCGTACAAGTGAGATCTATTGAAAAATATCTATTGCGACTATTTCATTATTTATATATTATTTTTCAAAGTTTGATTTTCTGGAAAAGACTTCGCTTCCAATCTTTTACAACTGGAAAATCTATCTATGTCGCCATGTTTTACTACCAGTTTTACTACCAGTGAGTCCTGTTAATATCAATGCGGCCTTGAGGTACTTTGCATATTCTAACTAGATATATGTATACGAGAGGCGGTTAAAAATCAATACACTCGAAGAAGTAAAAAATTGCCTATGCGACACTTGACACGTGTGCAATGGTGTTTTTCCTTCGTGCGGAAATCGAAGTGAGGCACAATCATGTGACATCGTAATAAGAAATAACTTGTCTGCCTCAGCAGCTTTGCGGGAATCGAATATCGTGCTGATTAATTTCCTCAATAACAGTTGATTTCAATTTCCAATGCATTCATCTTTTCCTTCAAATGCAAAGTCCTCTCCGCTATACTAACGCAATTTATCTCTCAGTATACCGTACTCTATACAGAGAAAAAGATTTCTTTGGATTTAGTAAAATTTCTTTAATTGAAACAAATCTGTCTTTTAGAATAGAACAAACAAACGAATGTTTAATTCAATAAACAGGATCGTTTGGTTTCTCAAACGATAAATATCTTCACGAGTTCTTCGAGAGTTTTATTCTATAAAAAAATTAATAAATTTTCTCTTTGTTCTTCGTAAAAAGAAAGGGAAAATAAAAGCCTAAGAAAGAACAAAGCCGATAAGAAATAAAATCAATCGAGGGGAAAGTCATGAAATATCAATCCTTGAAAACAGTTAAAATGCTCAAGAAAAAACTCGGAAACTAAGATTGGATCTAATTGGCCCTGATGGTATATTGTGAGTTTAACCGATAGTTACGGAACCGAAGCGACACATCTCTGGGACAACCTGTGCGTAACTAACACTCGCACACCTTATTGAGAATAGTTTAGCTAGTCTTGAGGAGGCTCGTAGTACACGTCCTTGGATGCCGCTCTCCGCGTACATATGTAAATTGGAATTAATTTCGCGGCCGCATCATTGCGTTCGCGCGTGCAAGCACACGGAGTCTAGCTGATGTATATATTCCCGTTGGATTCGCCACGTGCACAAATGCGTATCACCGTGACAAAACGCATTTGCAACTTCTCGTCGCGTTGTTGATTGAGCTCACTGATCATGCGGATCGCGATAACATTCGAAAAATAGAATTTTATCTTTACGATTTGACAGTGACGGTGGGGAACAACTCGCACAGTGTAGCGAATCGCTCGCGATCGAGCGATTTTCTTTGCTCTTTTAAGGGAATGCTGTACTTGAAAATTTTACCGACAGAATACTGATTTTTTCTGCAAAGTTTATGTCTTATTGATTGCACAGAATTATAAATGTTTTTTACACGAAAGTACGTACAGTTTCGTACGTTACGTATGAAAATGAATTGGAGCATTGCTCAGTATGTGGTGATAAAAATGATAAATTTCAAAGTCATCTCTAGCTGCCAGTTAATAAAAATATTTACCTAATGCAGAAATATTTACCTGCAGTTTGTACATACCGAATATGTCAATGCTCCAGGAAAATTTTAAAGAACATTTTTACACCTTCTCAATGAAATTTAAAGGTTTGAAAAGATGCGAAAAGCAGAAAAATTGTTATATATTTAGATTTTAGATATATGGTAAACAGAATAGCATATATTCATCGTGTTCACATTTATACCGTACTTTCATTTACGTAAGATCTATGTGTACAAGAAATACAAAAAGAATAACTTGATCGTGTCATTGTTTATGTAACATAACATTTTGAAGATCGTCTCTACGTTATCGACACTTATCAGGTTCAATAGCTATAGTATCCCCTTAACTCGCGTCGCCTTAAATACGGCGGCTCGTCACGCGACACACTAGTCGTCAGGAAAATTTGCCAGCCGAAAGACAACGGTGGTGTCATTAACGTATATAATATTAGCCTTGACAACTAAGTACATGGATGAGCACAGTGGTAAGCTAATTGCAGTTTGTCACATTTACGAAACTTGCACTTGACGATCTTTACTTACGATAGAAGAACGAGCGCATCCCGAAAGGTGCGATATCGGGTCGCGTCGTTATTAAAACAAGTCATGCCGATAGGAGCGGAGTTAATACGGGTATAATTGGCCAGCTTGAAAATTTCATTATCACATTATCGGTGTCCATTAATATCGAGTGGAAAATTTTACTCGACGTTAATGTCACCGTCGTTAACTTTAATGCCCTTGTATAAAAACATTAAGGAGAAATTAGCCCGTCGATAATTACGAACGTAACATCAGCGGTAATATCGTGCGTACAATCACGACGCCCGAATCGACAGTCGAATTGCTTTTCAGAGCGTGTCGCCCACGAAAGAAGCTCCGATTCTTTACTGTGGCGACGCGAAAACGTAACGATGCCGTCGATAATTGAAAACGGTATTTATTGTTGAAGCGGTGTGTAGACGTGACAAGTCGAATATATTGATCGCCCCTCCATACTAATGTGTACATGGTTTATCTGCACGTTATAATCGTTTGCATGTAGCCTACTTTGTAGATAATCGAAGAATATTTATAGTCATACTGCCGGTAAATTATGTAAGAACGACAAGTTTCGCTGATGAATTGTACTTCTGAATAACTTAGCGATTCCGCGGTGGATTTCAACGTAATCTACTCTGTGTCAGCGATTTCTCGTTTCTTCTGCGGGCGCGCTTCTCAGTACACTTTCGCGTCATGACGCGAATATCGATATGCAACAGCTGGTTCTTTAAAAAACGGGCCGGGCTGTTGAAGCTTCGAAATTACGAGGAAATCAAATTCTCATGCCGGTGCGGAGAAAGAGAAAGACACTTTCGTGCAGCATGTACGCAAATCGATTTTTTTTTTTTTCGATAAACAGTGCATCCTCAGCGAAACTTTTAATTCTGAGAAAGCGCGAGCTTGTAATAGTTATACGTTAAATATAAGCGACGAGAAACAATAGTGGAAGCTATTATACGGTCTCAATACGGTCTCTGTGCCTCCGGAACGTTATGAATTTAGGAACCTGTCAATTTGTACGTGTACAGCCTGTGTATAACCCTCGAGATATACTTGTATACCGTAATATCAATCTAGTTCATCTATACTACTTCGTAGCCTGTCATCGTACCCTATTATATTCTCATTACGAGAAGGTCGCCTCAAACTCGATAAACAGAAAAATCACGCGCGAGATATGGTCGCACGTGAAAATTCGAGCATCTCGCGTTTTCATTTTCGCCGACTCGTATCGCCGTTCCCTGTTTTCTGGTACGGCTGACGATCATGTCGGCCGACAATCGTCCAATTTGCAACGAGCGGGGCTGAATTTCACTTTTAGTGAGAGTTAAATTTCTTCAGCTTTCTTGTTTTAAGCGGGGGAGCAGCGAGCCAACGAAATCCTGACGACGATTACGCGCGCACGCGCTTCCATCGTGCTTCCCGTGTTCTCTCGCGAGCGTCTTCGCCTCGCATTAGACATCTGGGTAGTAATCAAACGATAAATGTCCGCGCGTAACGAAAATATATCGAGCTGCGCTCGCTCGCTAATTCTTCGCTGGTCGCATTATTTACAGCCTGCCTAATTTCTGACGTCACACCGCTCGTCACCCTCGCCTATGTCCGCAAGGACAGATGAGTAATGGAGTTTTGTACGAACGACCTACTTTCGGGAGCGACGTGTCTTTTGTCAAGGCGCTCGCGGCAAGTGTCTTTCTGTTTTCGTCGATATTGTCAACGGTCGCCGTCTTAATGAAGTTGCAATTTGCGTCAATGAGACTCACACTGTACTCTGTTGTGTGCCGCAACCGTCGTTTCTTAAAATTTCTCTTCTTACGGATCTTTTTCTTTCACTTGAGAACCTATCGTATTTCTTTCGCTTGAGAACCTATCGTATTTCAGGTTATCACGGAAATCTCTTAGTTTTGGGTTCCTTTTGTTCGAGGACTTCCGTCCCCAATCGCTTCATCCCAGGCAAACTCCATCTGGACAAACTTGTAACTGACAAATTGTACATTCTTAGTTCGACCGTTGGAATTTCTTTGGGTTTTACCGATTGTATGCATTAAGAAAAATCACGTATACCTACTGTTGAGACCAAGACCGCCCCGAACCCCGAACTGCACAATTCCTCAGTTCTCGATCGTTGCTCTCGGGAACAATATCTCCTGTTAGTTCAAGCATAAAGCTTGTCACGGAATTTTGAGTTAAACCGTTTCATTTCTTATATTTAATATTACAACATACATTTTCATTCGCGCCCCTAACAGCGCGCGACCACAGGATCGTCTTCAGAATCACACGTTTTCGGCGTGGAGATTATTCTCCGTTATTTCGCATATCTCATCGATTGTGCTGTTATCGTCAAGCTATTGATGAATCCCGACAATCTGGTCGGAAATTCAAAGCCGTCAACGCTTATCGCGATAGAGCTGAAGTGCTTGGTGCTCGAACAGGAACGATTCTCAGCGTGATAAGTTATTTTGGACTTTACACAGAGAGCGATTCGAAAACAGAGGGGCCAAACTTGACGAGTGTGTTCTGAGAAGAAAGAAGAAAGATCAGTCGTGAGGGAACGTGAGGCAGGGTGGAAAAGGCTTTCTATTCGAGTTATAAACGCTTTATATCGTCGAAGCGGTGAAGTTTGTCTCGCGACTTTAGACAAACGCGTTCCCGCTTTGACATTGTGTGTTGACATAGCCGGTATACGGACATATTGACGGCACCAACATCGCGTCTCTATAGACTCGTGAACCTCATAAGTAATGCTTTTGTACAATGCTCCGAGTTGTATTGAAATTCTGCGCGAATATTCGTCTTTTAAAAGCATGACGGAGAGAGGCCGCCGTTAGCGAGATCAAGCGTGTCTATAGAGTTTCACGATAATTATCCTCTTTTTTTCTTATGTTGCAGCTATGTCTTTGGAGGAATCTCGGAGGTCGCAACGCCCGTACCGCTACGGGATGGTCCTCCTGTGCGTCGGGGCTCTCATAAACTGGTTGGGCCTGGCAGAAAACTACGTCGAGCCGGTGCGATATGTCGGCGTCGCCTGCATAGTCGCCGGGGCTCTCCTCATTTGCGCCGCTATGTGCTGCTGGCTGCACGCGCCGCCAACTAGAACGAGCACGCACACGCAACACACGAACCATCCGATCACGGCACAGGTAATTTTCGATCCATTCGGAGAAAGCGAATTCGTTCGCGCGCTCGTTCTCAGAGAGAGAGAGAGAGAGAAAGAGAGGAGAAAAAAATTTTCGGAATCAAATTTTAAGACTACGGGCGGGACGATCAGCGCAAAAAGCTACGCAGAGGAAAAGATTTCTTTGGATTTAATAATATTTTTGTAATTGAAACAAATTTGGCTTTTGAAATAGAGCGAGCAAATGAGAAAGAGATAATATTTAATATAAAGTGAAATAATTCTTTTTATTAAGAAAATATTATTTCCTCTAAATAATGCTGTTTTTTTTTTTTCTATCGAACAACACGGTACTCTAATAAAACAACATTTTCATCCAATGTTTGAACGTTTGATTCAACAAACAGGATTGTTTAGTTTCTCAAACAATAAATATTTTTACGTTAAGTGATATATTTCTTTTTATATTACAATGATCATTACAATGATTGTCATTACAATGATTGTTACAAGCAATAAGTTATTTGAAAGAAGTAACATTGTGTTAGCAAAATATTAGAGAACTTCTTTGTTTCAATGAAATAATATTTAATATAAGATGAAATAATTCTTTTTATTAAAAAAATATTATTTCCTCCAAATAATGCTGTTTTTTTTTTCTATCGAACAACACTAATAAAACAACATTTTCATCCAAACAAAATGATATTTGATATTAAATTATGTTGTTTATATTAAATAAATCCAAGTCAAACAAACACGCGTGCCAAATCTAAAGAAACCTTTTTTTCTATGTACGTAGAACTTGGATATAAAATTAAGTTTTCATTTTTCTTTATGCAAATTCGACTTTGTTAATTGTCACGCGACAATATTACTGACGTCGAGGCTGAAGCGCGATAAATATTGGTCGTTCAGGGCCTTCTCGGCAGTCCGCAAGGATGCAGGTCGTCGGTGCGGTTGAAGGCCCCGCGGATTAAAACGCTTTTAGATCGATCCGGGTCAACCCCCTATTATAGACCGCGAAGAAAGCGTATTATCTATAGATACACCCTAGCCTAGCAGTAAGTCGCAATTACTACTGACGGTGGGCAGAATAAGAAGAAGCATGATAATACACCTCGCGATCTATAGCTCGTATTTTTCTCTTTTTTTCCTCTCTCCCCCCTCTCCTCGAGCGCAGTCGAACCGGAGCGGGAGATACAAAGGAGGATAAAGGGGAATACATTCTCATACGTATCAGAGATAATAAATCATCGTATACATAAATCATTGTCGGTACGACAAACATACGGTGAACGTTTCATCGTCGCTGGCCCGATATTTCGTGGGGCGTCGACGTTGTCGAAGTCTCGGGACGATAAAAATCGTCGTCGGGTCTGTCATCCGCGAAACAGCTCGGAATCACGATTACGCTACACCACCGACATTTCCTCCTTTCGGTTTCGAATGACGGAAATATTACGAATGCTTCCACGGATGGCTCACTCTTCCTCGATTAAGTGATTTCACACTCTTTCTTTCTCTCTCTCTTTCTCTTTCTCTCTCTCTCTCTCTCTCTCCTTATAAAATCAGCATTATTGCTGATACGTGTGTATCTATTATTAACGCGAGAGTGATTTGTGCCGCTGTAATGCCAGCTCGATACTCCGTTATACGCATGATCGACGTTGCTCTTATTACGAGAATAGCTTCAATGGATCATTAGTAGATTTTACACTGTCGATCCATTAGCACGCGCTTGATGCCGGTCCCCATGATGCTCGATATTCGCGATAATTAGTGATGCTCTAATAGAATGTAACAAGACCTCGATGAACCCTCACCTTTTCTCGTAACGTACACAACGCATCGTTTTCCTTCTCCCACTTCGCGCTTACTTAGGCAGGTTTGCGCGGCGTTTAATTCTCGAGGCATATTTTTCCCCGTGGAAATCGTCGGCGAATATTCCCGCGGCAAAATAAACTGCTTGTCCATTCTCAAATGTTTGCCCGTCCGTTCTTTATGCTCCGTTACATTGTATATGCAAAAAAGATATAATGCACGTCGGCTCAACGGCGCAAAGGAGGTCGTGGTAGTCTCTAATGTCGATTGTTGCTATAAGGATATTCACCCGGAAACAAATGCCGAGCTATATATACCGTAACTTATCCTTGAATATATCTGCCGGGCCGCCTCGTAGTTTCGATGGCAGTTCTTAAATCGTGACGAACGCGGCGCGAGTTAAATTCGGTGTCTAAGGTGAAGAAGAAGAAGACGAAGAAGCGGGAAAACGTTTTCAATCGCGCGAGAACGCCTGCGATCCTCCAGCTATCGATTACGCTCTTCGCATTAAATCATGCGCGGCCATACATACACACGTGTGAGCGCGTTTATTACTTTGTACAGCAAACGAACACATGATACATCGGATTATGCATCATATATTGTCTTCGGCACATCTGCCGCGCGCGATACCTGGTTACGCAACCTACCAATTCGTTCTTACGAGAAGCGAGGTGTTTCCCCGGTCCCGAGACGCGAACGTCATCCGATTCGTCGAGGTCTCAGAAATTTCATGAAATCAACACTCGCTGATTACCCCCATGGATATCGATATCTCCGGAGATACCATCTGATCGACGACGATTATCTTCTGACGCAGGAGGAAGTGGTCCGCGTGTATCTGACTTACAACCGAGGTCTCTCCCGAATGAATCCGATAGCCCGCGAGACTTCGGACGTCACACGTGAATCCCGACGAGGTGCGTCACTACCGTAATTTCGAATTCTCTTCTCCACGGTGAAATTTATCCGACCAGTTCCTCGTACGGGCTCTCAACAGTTCGTCGAATTTCGACGGCCCGCCGAGGGAGCTCGCGAACCGGCATCGATCGTTACACCTCTATGGCGCTTTGCGCGTCAGACACGCCGCGACGACCTCAATTACGTTTAACATCACATTACTCTCGCGACCCAATTATCGTGACGCGGCTCGTGTGTGTACCGAGACGATGCTCGGGGCTACGCAGATACGTCATTTCCATATCCGACGCGTTCGATCGGACGTGAAAGGAAACGAAGGTCCGGTTGATTCGGTTCTCCGAATCCTCCGGTCGTGGGTCGAAGTTGCGCCCATCGCATGGCGGTAACTCCCCGGGGGCGCGTTTTACCGGGAAAGAAATTTCGTGCGCCGACGGGGAAGGACCCGTCGGCGCGACGGGGTCACAGTCGTTCACCTCGCGTTTCCACTTAGGCTCATTATGCAATTTTCCAGCGAAGCTTTCTTATCGCCACAAATAAACCGGGCTATTCTCGTCGGGCACGCGCGCGCGCGCGCACGCTGACGTCTCGTGCGTCACCCTATATGTATCTCGCGCTCGCCCTTTCGCGACTTACATTCAGCCACAATATTTCCGAAGAGTGGTAGTAGCCGAGAAAGAAAGAAAGAGAGAGAGGGAGAGAGAGCGAACGAGCGAGCCAGGTAGATATCTATAGACGACCTACGACGAATATAGCGCGATGTGCACTTCCGGGTGAATATCCTTATAACGCGGCGCGCAGAGTATCGCGGGAAACGCGCGGGGTCGATCCGGATACTTTAAATAGACACGGGCGACGGTGCGCTTTCACGATGATTAGTCGCGTGACATATTTTTCCGCGTCCCTCTCGAATCTGGCTCGAACGCTACACTTACGTGCCGGGATTTCGCGAGGCAGCCAAGGTTACGAAGTTACGTAATTCCGCGGGATTCCTCGGGAGTTAGATAAGCCTCCCGCTAATTCGCCGAGCCGCGAGACGAGAAGTCAAAGTTAATTACCGTCGAGAAAAGCGAGCGAAACCCCGAAATCAAGCGGCGAAGTCGATGAGGCACGCTACAACCGCGCTCGAGAATTCCCCGAGTCGCGCAGCGCGCGATGACGCGAAACTCCCTGGCCCCGCGAAGTTACGCAATGGAATTCCATGACATTGCGAAGTTAATTGTAAGTCAAACGATCGTCTCCTTTTAAAGATCGACGACCCGATCCACGTGATCTCCATCGAGGAGCCGTCCAGCATGTCGAGGCAAAAGCCGCCGGACTACGAGGCGGTGACGGACGCACCACCGAGCTACGATGATGCGATCAAGCTGAATCCTAGTCAATTAGTCAGGCTAAGCAACGGCAGCACGCCGCCCTTATCCTCGGGACAAATTATCCCGACGACCATCGCCATCGTCTCTCCTACGCTGACGCCGCCACCGCCGTATGCGAGGTAAGGCCTATGCCTCCAGATAGCACGGAATATTCTACGAGTGTTCTTATGAAATATACATTTTCTCAATTCCAGAATATTCGAACCAGGGTTGAAAAGTAACACGTTACTTGCAACCTTACGTATTTTCAGTAACAATTTGATAACAACGTTACATTTCTCATTAGTAACGGTAACGGTAACGCAGTTACAGCTATATATTTTTTGGGTAAAGGTAACGAATATAATCGTTACTTTTATCGTTACTTTGCACACGTATAATACATACGTATATGAAATATACAGAAGCGAATCCTTAAAAAAAAAAGATCCTGAAAACTCAATAAAATTGTAACGACTTCTTACGATAACGGTAACGAGTTATTTTTTCAGTGGATAACGAATAAAAGTAAGGCGTTATTTTTTCAACAAGTAACGAATAACGGTAATGAATTACTTTTCAAAAGTAACTTTCCCAAAAGCACAATCCTGCCAAGAGTATATTATACTGAGATACGATTGTGATTATTTCCGGTGCCAACAACATCCTTTTGTTATTTTAACCACAAAAATAGTAGTAGCAACATGCATTAAGGTAAGGTTATTATCCCTGGAGCTATAATAACACTTATTAGAAAAATAGTTCTTTTGTCTATTTTTGTGGTTAAAATAACAAAAGCAAATTGTCGGCACTGAAAATAACTATAATTTTCTCAGTAGATGAGCACATAACAATGTTTTAGTACATTCTATGAATACACAAATATCCGTAATGAATATATTTGTAAAATATTCATAGAATGTTTCTATATTATCTGAGATGTGAGATCGATTTTCCTTGTTCCGAGTCGCTCATGGAATCTCCTCGCATTAATCTTAATTACCGGTAATTTTATTTCTTCGTCATTAATCTTCATTTAACGAAATTGATTCTGGAACATTTGGTTTTAATCGTATTTTCGACATCATCGAGTTCAATACTCGCGGCGGGATCCGAATCTACATTTTAAATTCTATATTAAGCTTTTAAGGGAAGAAAACAAAAATAAGTTCCTATTTATAGCATCAAAAGAGTATAATAAGTGCTCCTTTAAAACAAATGAGAGTTAAGATCTTTAAAGTCCAAATTTCAATTTTACGTTAAGTTTCCAAGTGGAGAAAACAATAACTTCCTCATTTGTAGCATCAAAGGAGTACAATAGAAGACCTTTGAAGACTTAATGTAGAATTAAATTAGACTTAAAGTAGGACTAAAATTTCGATTCGAGGACGTTCTTAAACTCGTGCAAAAGGCGAGAAATTCCGGCAAATCTTTTGAACCGGTTTCCTTTTGTTCTAGGTGAGATCACAAGGCTGGCGATAGAGACTACAATGAATACGGAGGTTCGCAGCGTGTCGGAGAATCGATGTATTATTGTCTACTGCGAAGAGCGATCGACAGTGTGATTAAATCAATACGATCGCACGACGATTCCGTTGTTCGCTCTCGTCATCTCGAGACGCGTGACCGAACGTGCATTTAGCTACGCAAGCTACGATCTTCTCAGGAGTGGGCTCGAACCATTCGAAGATCGTTCAACATCTCCACGAGGAAGAACCGAACGAGGATCTCTCTGCGACATTTTTTAAGTGTCGACCACTTAGATTATTAATTATCGGACAGTGTGAATCGTTGGCAATGTTCATTCGGCGCTCGGAAACTCTTCCTTTACATGTCATAATTTTCATTACGTTTATAATCGGAAGACAGAAAACAGGGGATCATTCAGTGCTCATTGAAGGCGGCCTAAAAAATTCCACAACGGCTACGATTTTCTTTAATACGGCTCAATTACACCACGATTTCCGGTGCTAACCTCCTTCGTTCGCGCGTGGAAGTTCGACGGATATCTCGTGAAATCATGCGCTGAGAGAATGCACAAAAGTGACGCATAATAATAACCGGCACTCAATGCACAACTGCAAACTTGTATAGACTTACATGGCGCGGCATTTTGTTCCTCTCTTTTTTTTTTATATACTCGCGAACGTAATCTGACGATTATCTCGACAAGAACGCCGCGAGCAATCGCCGTCATTGCGTGGTTTCTGCGGACCGCATTGTTGCTCGCTGCGGTTTTTTCTGATCGTGAGTTCGAAGCGACTACTTTCGGCGCTCGGACGTTTCATTCGTTCCTCGATCGTTTGATTTAATAACGCCGTTTGAATCGCTCCGATTGATTCGGAATGAGTCTGCAGAAATAACGGAGTTTTAAATTTAGTCCGACGGAACGGACGTGCCGTCTCTTTTCTCTCTCTCTCTCTTTCTTTATCCGATAGGAGACGCGCGATCTCGTTCCATCGGATGGTCATTGTCGCGACGATGACGCGAAAGTCAGCGGAGTTCCCGCCGAAAATTAGCCGGGTCGCGTTGATTCATCGCGCCGCGTCCATCGTCGCAGCTCGTCGGACTCGGAAATTTCACTCACGTCACGTCTCGAATTCGAGTGGCTCGGTTATGCATCGCATTAAGAGTACGCTCTTGTCTCGAACGACGCTCGAAAGTGCTCCGCCGGATATTCTCACTCTCGGACGTAGTTGGGCATGCGATACGTGTTCGAAGAGAATCGCATCCCACGATGATCCGAAGTGGAATCATAGTAATGGAGCATTTAGCGCGTTGCGAACTCAGCTGCGCGCGTGATTTACTGAAGAACGATCTTCTGTCGTGTATCATCTCGGTGTCTGTCTCTTTAAATACGCACACACGCGCGCACGGCATACCCATGCGAAAGCCATTCACACACGTCCATTTTATTGTGATATACAATACTATTATATATACATATATATATATGTGTATATATATATATATATATATATATATATATATATATATACGTGTAGATATTACGAAGCAAAAACATTATCGAACATAACGGCGATGCTTGTAAAGTAAGACTTTTTTTTACAACGAAAGTGCAAAATATAATATACGACTTTTTTTTTACGCGAGTATTTTTTTGTCGTCCTCCTACATGTGTCTCCTCTTTCCTCCAGATAGCATGATGAAGTCTTCTTCTCTGAATTGTAATTCTTTAAAAATTTGTGGTAGAATATTATAAGAATGATCCAGAAAGTTACATGCGCCAAGATTGGAATTCCTGCCAACTTTTTGAAGTATCGTATAGAATTACTTCATATCAACAGATGTATACTTTATAAATTTCTATTCATCGCGATGCTATCTGGGCTCTTTCTCTTTCTCTCTCCTTCTTTTACCATCGTTTCTTGCAAAGTTTCAGATCGTACAGGAAATGCCTCATTATTACCTTAGACGCAATTTGATGACGCAAACGTTCTTGTATTTACGAAGTTGGTAAGACCGTGTACTCGTTTGTTAAATTGAATCTCCTTACGTATCGTGTCTCGGCTCTCGTCGAACGAGTGTCGCGAGAGCGCAACATAAGGCGTGGAAAAAATGATCAGTGTTCATCGATAAATACCCTTTATTCAATCGGAGTAACATTTATACTTACTTAAAGCATGTTATTGAACTTATGTACCTGTAGAATTTCATTAACGGCAACAATCATAATCGCAATGATAATAGAAACGTAACGGCAATAGAGATGGAGATAAATTGAAAGCTATCAATAGCAATCATAATATAATAATAATAATAATAATCAAACTAATGCTGATAATAGAAATCATAATCATAATCATCGTATTATTAACAGTAATGATCACACACATGACTAGTAGATGACGACGATAATGATACGAATGATGATACCGCCGAGTATATCAATGATATTGCAACGGAACGCGGGAGGTGATGCGGGAAAGTCAAAATGTAGTCACACTGTCAATTGTTGGTTAATCTATTCATCCCACATTCGCTCGTTTATCCACCTTCTTCGTACTCGCCATAATCGCGCTAAAATAAAAGAATCGCCTGACGATAGTGACAGTAATAACCGTAATTATAATGATAATGATAGTGACAAGAATAATTATAACGTCGAGATTATTCGTAATTGTCGGTCGACTATCGCTATCTTTAGTTTATTATTTCTCTCACTACACGGTGGTTGGTTAAAGTATATTTACTTCTGCATGCTTTCCTCCCCGACACCTCGTCGGCCTCACAGGCGAACAATTAATTCCTCCGTAACTTCCGTTTCCCGATTTCTCTATGTACAACACATCTCGTACCCACATTTGGAGCCTAACTCAGCATAATCTTAACGTAATGCAGCCTTACGCCGGCAATCACTGATTATCACCGATCGACATGTCTGCTACTTTATCACCGGCACCGCGTGTCTCATTGCGATAACAGCTCGGAATAAGAATATTAAAAATATCTCACGCGTTATGTCACCACCGCGATAACGCGCCGTATATTTTGCCAGTGGTATCAATTACTGTAGATTAGAGTAATGAGTCGATAAAATCTCCGACGGCACCGTTTTCACGCGGACACGTACTCTCTTTTGTTACTCCTAGTCGTTCCGATTCGTGATCGACGGAACGTACGCTCGCAACGTCGTTGAAACGTCTCGATGTTTTCCTCGTTCCCTCGCATCCATGTCGATCGACGTGGGTGTGAAAGGTCAGCCAGCGCGAAAACGAAAGTTCCGGGCGTGAAACCCGTGAATAATAATAATAATAATAACACCCGTAATTCTAATTGCAGTTCCTACGAGAAGCGACGATTCCTACGACTCGCGCGCTCCGGACACTTTCGGTATTTACAGATTCTCGTAGCTTTCCCCTCGTTTCTCGATCCAGCAGCGAAACGAACGAGCGCAATAATAGTAATAATAATCATAATAAATAGCAACGTAAATTGTGTGATCAACGAAACAGTAACAACCGCGCCGATGCAAAATGTACACGTGGATCTCTCACGGTGCGGCAAGTAATTCGCGAATGTACAGGAGAGAATGCGACGCATCCTACAATTATTGCACGTACGAACGAGTATCCTCCGACCGAATCGGCCGTGTCGCGTGTCCCGAAGGGACACGCTCAACCTCGACGCCCTTTACCGCAGTCCTTGAATGATCGTCTGCGGATCACCCGCGATTCGCCTCGGACAGTTATAAATTCGAACATTGCATCATGTTTGCCATCGACATCTATCGATGAAGAAGAGTCCGTCCCTTCTTAATCCCGCGTACACGTCTTTCCTTTTCTACTCTTTCTCCCTCCCCCTCTCACCGCGTCTCTCTTTCTCCTCGCCCCACCGAAATCGCAGCTCATTATCGCCAGCGACTCTCACGCCTAATAATAATTGTATATCTCTGTGACTATATGTACAACCTATGGACACAACGCGTCGCACTTTTCTCTCGTAGACTCGTTAATATTATATAAATGCATTGGTATACTCGTGACTATACTTTATCGACAGTAGTAAGAGTAGTGGTAGCAATAATGTGACGATTGGATTAATCGCTAAAAACGATCCGGCTTTGGTTTGGTAACAGTTACAGTAAGTAGTAATAATAGTAGTAGTAGTAATAATCATAATAATAATAATAGTGACTAGCTGGTAAATGGTTAGCCGATAAACTTGCTTTATAAGTAGCCCTCGGTTCAGCAGAAGCGTCATTGGGTGGACACGCCGGCCCTCGTAAGTCTCGCGCGCGCCGATCGCTCGAAACCCGGTAATAACAGTTACACAGCGGCAAAGTGCAAGAATCCCGATATACAGCTAAGGTCAATCTTGTTCTTTTTTCATTTTTCCTCTTTACACGACTTAGAGCGTTAACCATCGACCCGTCGAATAATATATAAATGCATTCCTCTCCCGTTGTGTGTGTGTATATATGCGCGTGTGTGTATGCCTGTGTGTATTTACACTACGAGACGACGACGACGGCAGCGGCGGCGGCCGGCGTCGCGACCCGTCGATCGTGATACTCTTGAGACGTAGATTCATTCATTATGTACAAAAGATATATCGCTAATGAGCAACGTCGCTCCGCGCATAGTAGAATAACAGTCCGTCAAGCTTATAGCTCGGATGGATGCTCACGGAGCCGTCATCCGGTTTAGATGCCGTTACAGCGCTCACTGACAGGACAGCTTATGCGCGCCGGTGTCGGCGTGCCCGGCCGGCGAGCGGCTTTCACCGACGTCGTCGCGCGACTGCGGCACGTGAGTGCGTCCCGCGCGCACTCCGAAATCCACGCGTGTGACGTCGCGCGGCCGAGCCGCCGCGGCATCCCGGTGAATCACGCGTCACGAAGTCGGGTTTCTCCCAAGGTCGTAGGCCGATCCCGCGCGGAGCTCGGTGACGATCGACGCCGGCGGCGGTCTCGGTGCCGGGGCGTCTCTCTCATTCGTTCACTCGGTGCACTCGGTGAACGTGAGGTGAACTACGAACACGAGTCGCTTATGGGTCGCGCGAGCTCCGAGCGATGCTCTCAGTACCCAATCGTCGAGCCTTAAGGATGGTCTCAGATGGGTGTCGGCAGGACCGTGAAGTCCTGCAGAGCGGTCTTCACCGTCTCGTAGATCGGCCGGTTGCTTTCGTCGGTGCAGTAGCTGTCGGCGGTGCACAGAGTCTGCAGCTTCGTCAGGTAACTGTCGAAGTTCTCGTGGCCTATCTTCTCCTGCGGTCCGCCCGGGGCGTTCGGTATTCGCACGTGCTCTAGCAGGGAGATCATGTTGTCGCGCAGCGACTGGTAGTATTCGGTCAGATTGTTGTTACGCTGAGCTATCGTTGATGTTTCCTGCGGAAAGAGAGACACGATAATGCGCTACCCCGTTGCTCCGACCCGGGCCGTACATGCACACGACTGGTAAGAAACGGCTGAAGGTGCAAAATGAACACCGGCAGGGGATGAAGCTAAAAGCTTTTGGATATACGATCGATTAAGACGAATGGGTCAAGGAAGTGCAGGTGACCATTGACCCCGTACTTTTTAGCTGAACTTGCCGCACTTGAAGAAATGTACGCGAAGCGTACCGAAGCGCGAGGATCTCGTGCGTATGCTTTAATGTGTATGTCAATTTTTCGAACCAGCGCAGTCAGTTTAGCTAAAAAGAGCATTCCACATGTGTGAATGTGATGACACGATTCAAATTCGAGTGTCCGTAGATTTAAGCCAAACGTTTCGTCTCGGTACATCAAAGAATTCGGTTCCAAAATAGAATTTTCCGTGAATTCTTGTTTTTTTTTTCTTTCTCAACGTACAACAAACAAATCGATCAGCATTCGGTTATTTCAGCGCGATATCAACGTATGGTTAATATAGAAAAAAGTGCGGCATCCTGCGGAATGATTTCTCCGTGAAATAGGAAACGCCGACCAAGGGTAAACGATAGCGCGAGCAATTCGCTGACGCGAGTACCAAAATTCGATAACGGAACGGAGGAAAATCTGAATGTCTCAAGCATGATAAGACCCCGATCGCGTTCCGTGTTCCCTATTTACTCGACACAGGGTATACCGTTACCGATTGAGCAAACACTGACCTTTTCGCCGTGCTTGAGCTGATTCTCCATGGCTGTGATATCCGAGCGCAGGCGTAGGACCTGCGACTCGACCCGGGCGTTCTCTCTCTGGAGCTCGGTGATCTCAGCCTCCAGTGTGTAGAGATCCTCGCTCTGGGCACCGGCGGTCCCGCTACCGCTCGAGTTACCCTGACCCGTGCCCACCGCACCCCCGTGAGCCGGACCACCGGCTTCTACCCCTGAGGACAAGGACAGACACGGTCCAGTTTGGTAGACTGTCCGTCGTACGGCAGAAAGCGAATCGTGCCGCCCGGTTTCCAGTGTGTCGTTTCGTTATCACCGAGCGTCGCGCGTGCACATACAGATACACATACACCCGCACACATTGTGATTCGCGCGCCTCTGTCGTCTCGCGCAAGCGGCGACGACGACGGCGCGATTACACGCGAAGTTGAAATGAGCGCTCTTTATCGAACTTGCGAGGAAACTGCACTGGAAACCGGTACGATTCGAGGCCCCCGACCCTGGCGGAGGCTCGCACGAATTCTCTACCGTACTCAAACGGAAGCGTTCTCTTTTTTTTTTCCCGTGAAAGGCTTGTTCCGTGAAAAAGGTAACGCTCGCTATCGCTCGAGAGCAATCACGATCGGAAAGCGTCAGATCGAAAAGTCCGAGCGGGCTTGCGGGGTTCTCTTTTGACGCGATACATATGGATATACAATGTTAACGAGCATGTAAGTAATTACGCCAAGGATATAATCAGTTCAGGCAGCGACTTAGGCAGCGATGCGGCTTGTTTTGTTCGCGAGGAGAACAGACATCATCGCGCGCGCGCGCGCGCGTCAATAGGATTTGAAACGGAATGCTCCGAATCCCGGTGGCGCGGTCGCCGGCCACCCTGCGCTTCCCCTTCGCTTCGCTCGGCCCAAGTCACTGCAGTTGAGCTTGTCTCGAGATAATGGGACGGTAAATACGGTTTCTTCTGCGTACGGTTCGTGCCAAAGGTGACAAGGTCTCGGCATCTCGGCGGAAAAGCGAGAAACATTTTGATGCTCGTTCGATCAAGCGTGTGCTCCGATTCGGTAAGAGACGCACGAACCTGACAGGAGTGCCGTGGGAGGTGATATGATCGGGACGATGTCGGGGTGTCTTCGGGGATTTAGCGTGAGGTGCCATCATACCAGATAGAAGAAAAAAAAAACGAGAGAGAGACGATAGGCACCGAGTGCTGGCGTTGATGCGCGACATAACGATGGTCGCGCGTGGACATGAGCGAGAGAGGAAAGCTTGAAGACCGGTAATTTATCGTGCCGACGGAGACGGTTTTGCACGCGATTCGCACGAATCGTTGCCAACACTCGGACGTCGTCTCGTAAAGAATATATAAAAAAAAAAAAAAGATACTGGTGTGTGGATCTTGTATGTAACACCGAAAACACATAAGAAACAAGTGGCGAATACGTCAGTCCCTTACCTTCAAAAGTAATCGTGCTCCGCAAAGCTCAACAGGAAAGGAGCTGATCGTGATCCCAGAATAAATCAGAATATATTATTTTCCATTTCATTAAGGCATACGGCTGGTTTTCTGGTTTTACATTTCTGTCTTGTACATAACGAAGGAAGAGGTACCTGCGCGGGATCGAATCGAAAAGGAAGGAAAAGAAAGAAATGAAGAAACGATTACACAAAGTACAATGCTACATCGTATATGCGATTTTTTTTCTTTTTCTTTCTTTTTTCTTTTTTTTTTTCGTTATGTTTTGCGGGTGCTTCTTCTCTTTCGTGAGCTTATCCGTGGCGTCTTCTCACCGTTTCGCGTTCCAATCGATCGCGACGTTTTTTTTTATTTTTTTTTATTATTCGCAAATCTGGATCGACTCGTCGTCGCTGAGAGAACGAAAAAAAAAAGTCGAGAAACGAGAAAGTAATACTTAAAGAGAAGAAATCAAGAAAACGAATTCTGAGAGTCGGGAGAAAAACGGAAGGACGGGGAGGGGGAGGGGGGGTCACTCTCATTGGTATGACAGCACATCATTGCGTGAAGAGCAGAGTATGGCATAGCACGGGATCAAGTACAAGGTTAGATATGCACAAGTTTACAAAGAAAGGTACATAATTCCGTATGTTTTAGCAGCGCGCTCGTCCAGAGAGAACTCGCGAAATCATTGCGTGCGAAATCAACGGAGTGCGATCTTTTTCTCTTTTCCTTTTTCCCGCATCGGTTGTCAATTTTCTCGCGCGAACACACCGAAGCGAGCCCAGTAAGCAAGAAACATTAAATCAATCTTTTCAAACGTTGACTTTATGTGGATTTTATAAACATTTTGACGTAATATTTTATAAATATCTTTAAAATGTTACTTGATAACATAATATTCCTAAATATTAAAATCCAAATATAGAGATATCATTTTTAATGTTTGGATCAAATGTTGTTAACAATGACGTTATATACAACATTGGGAACCACATATTTGAAAAAGTTACATATTATAAGATGTCGTTGTGATAACGTTGCGTTAATGATTTCTTGCTTACTGGGAAGACACGCACGGACGTAGTCGTCGACGAAGCTCCTGAACGAGCGCGATGCGCAAACATAATGGAGAAGAACAGAGGGCGAACTTAAACTGTCTTATCTACTCTAGAACATATTTCCTCTCTCTCTCTCTCTCTCTCTATCTTTCTCTAGCGCGTGCTAATGAGACACAACGTGTCTCGGTAATATTCAATTTTGGCAGCTGCGCGCGAGAAGAACTCTCTCGCGGTCTCGCGCGGTCTCTCATTCAGTAAGATTCGATCTGATTCCTCGTAACGACTGGTCTCTCACGCACAGCGTGCTCTGACAGTTTTATTCTTCGATCGTTAAGTATCGACAGCCGCAGGAGGCGTCATCAGAGGCAACTCGATCCTCACCGGTGATTCCTTTGCCGTACATGCTCATATTATCCTCGAATTTCGGCTTCTTCACAGCGTGGCCGGCTATCGGGCAGCCCGACAGGGATCTGTGTGTCGAGAAAGAGCCGTTTATGTGGCCGATTCCGTCGCATCCGGGCGTGGGGCAATTGACACCCTCGAACTTCATGGCCGTCGCGGCCGCCACGGCCGCCTTGTGTTGCTCAACCGTACCGCCGGACTCCAGCACCCGCATCTTGTTCCTGTTCGCGATCGGGCAGCCAGACGCGCTGTAATGAGGAAATGAGGATGCGTGAAGATTACGGGCGGATAGACAAGCGTCGTAAACATTGTCAGATTCATCAAAGCATTATCGGGGATCTCCGTGTAATTATTGCCGCGTAACCACGGCGGTCGGGAATGCCGTATCATGCTATGCACATATCTCGGTTACGCGTAATTATCGTGCTCGGCCAATCGTGCCAGAGGCACTCGCGACGTTTAATCTTGTGATCTAGCAGTTAACATGGCAAAAATGTGATGTTAGAACAGAAAACATACAAATGAACGAGACTAATCGGTAAACATTGTCGGGTTTATTCATTAGAGCGTTATCAAGGATTCCCGCGCAATTATTGCCGTGTAAGCGCGCGATAATTCCCGTTGTTGAACGTTAGTTAACTGAATTTTCCGTTGCCTGGAGACCCAACGAAAATTCGGTTGTAGAAACGAAAAGATTCCTGTAGGAGATTTCTATTCAGTCGATTGGCCGTAGTTATACAAGATCCAACCCACGTGAAGTACGTTTTAAGAAAAATAAAGATGCAAATTGGATACACGATTTGAAAAGTATAAACAACACTGAGGTTCTTCACAATCGTTCAAAAAGTCAAGCACGGTCCATTTTCTTTCACCGAAGTTCCGAAACGTGTAGTTAGGCTTGCTCGTTTTGATTGAACTGGAATTTCTTTCCCTTCCTTTTCCAGATTACATACTTGTTTCGCTCTCTCGTTGCACTCTAGTGCAAAAAGAGCAATCTAGTTCGGTTAAAACGAACAAACCTATTACATCAGATATCGGCCAATCGTGTCGGAGACACTCGCGACGTTTAATCTCGCGATCAAGGTGGGAGGAAGGTGGGTTAGACCGAAAATATTGAAATGAGTGAGATTAATCGGTCGCCGGAAAGAGGAGTGCGCGATTATCCCGGAGAGAGGTCCGAGCTGCGTGAAGATCCTTACGAGCCTTACCTGCGGTGCGACAGGAATTTGCCGGTGGCATGGCCGGACCCGTCGCAACCCGGGATTGGACATCTGTAGTCCAAAATGCCAACACCACCGTCACCAACACCACATAATCCATCCGCACAGAGCGAGCGTGAAACGAGCGGAAACCGCCAGTTATTAGTCAGCGTCTTCGCCTTTGCGCGGGATATAATTCGGGCTGGGAGTTAGGATGCGGTTACGAGGGAACGGGATTTCCCCTTTCGGTCTCCCGCGCGACAGCCTCCCGGTACGTGCAATGCGGTCGAGAAGATACCTGCGTTAGCTGTGCTACGTGCAACGTGCGAACGCGACGAAAACGCAAATTGAGATCGCGATTATTGCGGCGCCCGCAAATTGCAGAGCTTGCGAGATATAATCGCGCCCTGAAACCAGAGCCTACCGAGCGTCCACGATAACCCTCGCTCTCTTTTCGTATATACCGTCGCGCCGCGTCTTCATTTATGTATTTATCATTTATCATTTTTACATTTTCCGATCTCATCATGCTTCTGAAATATAGTTTGGATATATTGTGACAAATATCGGAGTTGTCAGGGTACAGAAAGCAGAAGTGTCGCACGAACTGAATGGTTTCTTAATCATCGGAAACTCTGATTTTGCCGAACGGAATAAATATCTAAGCGACTAAGACCGATCGTGTCCTCAATGTCACGTACCTTCGTATGTGCATTTTCTTAAGGGATTATACTGATCTAGAATTTTGAAATTTTCCATTTATTTTTTGCATCTTCTTCAAATTTGCAATATTGAGAATATATTTATAGTGTGTTAGATAAAAATTGAAAAAAAGTGGCGGAATTATGAGACCGAGAAGAAAAAGAAGTTCGCAACCGTAAATTAGAACCCCTTAAGGCGTTACGCAAATATTACACGAAAGAAATATAGTTTAAACAACGTGAAATTTTTTTTTGTACTATTGTCGCTTCTTATGTTTATTTTGCAAATGCGATCCTTTTGATCCTGTTTTGGATCTTCTAGATTTGAAAGTAGTCGTTCAATACAAAATGCAACCAATATAATGTACGCTAAACTTTTTTTGTTGTTAAACAGGCCAATTTCTTCGTGAGCGAAAAAAAAACGAGGAACGCGACTGATCTTCGTGTTGATCCGCCGGAGAGGAAGTGCGATGCGGAGTAAAGAGCGTGTAATTGAAAGCGTATACGTCGACTGACCTCAAGGGCTCCGAATCTTGGCCATCTCGGGGTTTACTCTTCGGCTTGTTGGCTCGCGGACAACCGGACAAACTCCTGTGCGACGAGTAATTTCCCGTGACGTGTCCGGAACCGTCGCAGCCCGGCGTGGGACATTTGAGCTCCTGGGAATGCGCCTGGATCTGCGAGCGGTCCGCTCGCGGACATCCGGAGAGGCTGCAAAGGAAAGAAGACTCTCTTCTATTTCGACGCGTTGCGAAAACACCATGAAGACCGCACGCTGCGTGTGCATCGCCGATCCCGCGCGGAAATTACTCGATTATTCGCCGCGCAGTTAAGAAACGCGCCGCGTTACAACCCGGCGAAGTTTCGCAACGCGCTAATCCTCATGGCTTCGGTCACGAACGCACACCTCAGAAACGTCCAACCATCGTTTCAGCAACACATCGCATGCAATTTACGCGACGTTGCCACGATGTCGTAAGTACTCACATGACCTAATAAGCTGCTCGTCTCGAAGGGGAGACGATCAACGTCTCGATTAAACATCAGACCTCGAGGACGAGCACCGGACATCTCGTTCTCGGCGAAATAATCATCTACGAGTCGCACGACGACGTGCGGTGCGGCACGACGCACCACCAGAGTCATTACGTATTGCTATGTGAATTCATTCGTTAATCGCCGCTGTATAAATATCCGCACGATTATAATCGTCGAAGCGGCAAGAGGCGTACGGACCCCGGCGCACTGCCATTACGAGTACGATTTAGCTTTCTTGGACGACTTGCCTTGCGTCCAGTTCGACCGAAGACATTCAGGGGAAGGGAGACTTAAGACTCGCGTGTCTTGTTCGAGTATGTCGCACGCCAACGATCGCTTCGAGTCTCACGCCCCGGAGACACTCTCGAATATCCGGATGTATGTATGTATATTATCTTCTTTTCTTTATTTTGCGATCGATGCGGCCGGATCGTGTTGGTAGCATGCAAATGGCAACGCCGTGTTCCAGTTGGATCACTCATGAGGTGTCGCTCGTAAAGATCAATCGCACCTATCGGGCTCGCGTTGATCGCAATGACCGGATTCTTACCCTAAGAAACACATCGAAAGGGAGAGCAGGGAGCACACTCACACCTGACCCCAATGAAACTCGCCAATTGCCAATTGACTTTCGCACGAGGCCTTCGTACTTCCTCACGAAGCGAGATTCCGCGGTGGGTGGATCTCTGATCGCTACTTGTTCTGCTATGACATGGTCATCGACAACAGTTCGCTACGAAGCTGCCCACTCGAGGCTGGCGAAAGCGGCTTTTATTTAAACGGACGGGTAGTCGTCGGTGATCGATCACTACGTATATGCGTACGAAAGCGAACGAGTCTCGCGTTCGGAAGCGGGTGAACCTTCTGCAATGCCGATTCCTTTCGCAACGCCGAGCGTCTTGATTTTGCCATTTCCCTTTTTCCTTTCGTAGGGGTCGGGTAAAAACAGCGAGGAAACGAAAGTAAGAAGGGAGGAAAGAAAGAGTTTCATTCAGTTACGAGGCTCATCTACACATCTTTGGTATATATCGCATAAATGTAACGTGGATAGGCACGTACGTGGGGCTAAACCAGGAAGTGTGAGAGAGAGAGAGAGAGAGAAACAGATAGATAATATGTAACGAAAGGAAGGCAGAAAAAAAAGAAAAGAAAAATCAAGACTATATATCGCATATACTTATGCAAGATAGCTATAGTACCATTGGATATTCACATGTATGTTATATATAGATATATGTGGCAACATAATATCGAACAGGTTACAACTCAACCGCTCAACTAGGAAAGAGAAAAAGAGAAAGAAAGAGAGAGAGAGAGAGGGAAAGATAGATAGAGAGAGGGATTTCTAGACGTATGTTTCGTATCGCAACACACTTAAGAAGCAACTACGCCACGGACCACCAATATGCATCGATGCAAGAGAAACCATCCATGTAAATGTAAACTCGCAAATTTACTTGATATCGCCTTGCGTGTACGTGTGTATAATAATTTCAGGACATATCGTCATTCTTCCGCGCTCTCGGACGTGATAAATGACTACTGGAAGCTTTGTCGGGGAAGACCAAAAAGAGGGCTAGCATAAATTTAGGAATGTGTGCGTGTATGTGTGTATGTGTGTGTATGAGTGTAGAGATATGCGAATAAAGGATTTTTGATGTTGAATCAAATCTCATCTTTTATTTTCAAATTCGAATCGAATCGACGAAATTTCACCCGAATCGAATCGATGAAATATAATTGTTAATTAACATAACCATTGAATTCAACATGAAGGGAGACTCCGGTATGAAAGGGATAACATCGATCTTGTAATATCAACTCATTTTAAATCACTTAAAGTAAGATATATATATATATATATATATATATTTAAGCATTTAGAATAAAATTGATACTGATGAAATATATTTTACTTAGAGTAGCAGTAATCGAAACAGTCAGATATGAAGTCATAAATTAAATACTAAAATATTTTGAAAACCATTGACATTATCTGCCATTTACGATCAATGTAGAAACTGAATGATTTTAGAAATGCGTTTTCATACAAATATATAATATATTATGCATCGTAAATATATCTACAACACTCACATTAAAATAATTTTAAATTGTAAAATTAATATTGCGATAGAAGTTAAATTTGATATTTATATCAAATGATTAAATATTATCAATAATGTCAGCGCTTTTCAATCAACCAAAAATCCATTTCATGTCATAAAAATTGATTTAAAGACGTAAATTTTAATAATATCTCTTGTCTTAAGTTACTGCTTTTAATATTTTTAAAAAGGATCTTAACGTACAGTGAATTTCTTAAATCATATCAATTCCTGCAAGGCTTTAACGTCTTTAATAGTACTTCGTCAATGCTAATGTGCGTGATTTGTATTCGAATCTTCTTCGAAATTTTGGAATTATTCGGATTCGAATCATAGGGATTCCAATTTAAACTGAATCAGATAAGATTCGATTCGATTTGAATTCGATTAGTTCGCATATCTCTATATGTGTATTTGTATGTCACATGTGTGGCGAGTGGACATGTGATGTATGCGTGTATGTATGTATGTAGCGTGCGTGCGTGCGTGCTGCATCGCCATATCGATATATACATAATCGAGCGTTCACGTTAAAGTCTTGGTGTAAATGTCGAGATGCTGCCTTGCCTTCTGTGGGTAGCGTAGTTCCCTGAGACATGACCCATGCCATCACAGGACGACGTGGGGCACTGTATCAGCTCCTTGCCGTCGCGACCACGAGGGGCGGGCCGAGGCGCAAAATTCAACGAGTATCTCCTCACACTCATACTGCACCGAACAACATTATAACCGTGAAATCGGGAATCCCCGGTTATTACTGAATCGTCGACAATCTCTCTCTAACTCGGCTGATACGCTAGATCCGATGCTGCTCGAGCGCGACACGCGAGCGCGAATCCGCGATGATCCGCCGATCTTGTATCTCCGTCCGATTAAAGGGCTACACACCCGAACTTGGAAAACGTCCAATGTTCGAATTTTTCTGCTGATCACATTATTGACGTTATGAAGATGTCCTTTTGAAAGATGATTCTTCATATTTTTATTTGCATATTGTATGAAGTCCATTACAAAAAGTTGATACTTAACGCTGTTATTATTGCTTCCGTGAAACTCATCGTCGCTAATCGGTCAAAGTATCTCGGGAACTATTGGTCGATTTAGCTGTACTTTTGATATATGTAATAGATATTCTTAGTAAGATTATCTAATCTTGTGGTTTTTAAATCGATTTTTTAAATATTAACTTTTTATAAAGTTATTAAATTAGTAAATTTACGTCTTTAAATCAATTTTTATGACATGAAATGGATTTTTGGATAGTTGAAAAGCGCTGACATTATTGATAATATTTAATCATTTGATATAAATATCAAATTTAACTTCTATCGCAATATTAATTTAACATTCAAAGTTCGACCTTTTTGCCAAAAATTTCTTCTCTTTTCCTTTATAAAAAAAATTTAACACAGAGACTAGCTTCACGGAAGCAGCGATAACAGCGTTACATGTCAATTTTTTGCAATAGGTTTAATGTAATATATAAATAAAAATATATGAAGAATCGTCCCTAAAAAGAACGTCCTAAAAGTCAATAAATATAGTCGGTCGAAAAATTCAAACACTGAATTTTTCTTCGAGGCGCTCGACTGTAGCCCCTTAATCGCATCTACCTTCTTTCAACAGATTCAGCCGGTGGCGGCGACTCGAAATGACACAGCTTGCCGAGCTGCCGAGCACTCGAGCAAATCGTTTGACGCAACCTCGACATATCCGAGCGCGACCGACCACCATCAGTCATTTTCTCAAACGTGGACACGTACAGGCGCGCGCGTACGGCATATAATAGTTAAAGAGCGGCGCAAAGTTATATTGCGTTCCGTAACTTCCCTCTCGGGGCGCGAGTGGAAGGGGCGGTGCACGACGTGATAGTGTGATATGAAAAAAATGTCGAAACGCGGGATAAAGAGCGCGATGGGGGCGAAGGAGGAGGAGGACGTGGGAGCGGAGAAGCAGGCCGAAGGAACGCGCGCGTCGACTGGAGGGGTAAGCGCTTCGTCTCTTGCAATCCGGTCTCATCGTAGTCTCGTAGATGGGCGAGCCGACGTCGACTATGAGAAAGCCTCGGAAACCTCGATGGCCCTTGAGTGGCCGCGATATTGCCGGCCAACCGAGAGAGCCGGCGGACGCAGACTTGAGTGCAATTCACCGCTACGCCGACGGACTACGTATCTACCGTCGCGCGTTTTTGCAGCCTTCGTTCGCCTCCGTCGCCCTCGTCTTGGGCGAGGATAGTAGCGACGAGCTGCGCGAGTGCGTTGCGGTCGACCCTTTAACCCTTCCGAACCCGCTGGGTCATATGTGTGGATGTCCCGCACAGAAGTTGAAAACTTTACTCTTTGTCAGCATTGTTTAAATTACTAATTAAAAATTACTTCTACATGTAAGAACATATACATATTTAACATTTCTCGGAAAACAAGAGAGATCAAAAGAGTTAGAGGCTCGGTGTCCTCTAGCCGGTGTAAAGCAACAGTGCGTGTGTGTGTGTGCCATGATCCGTTCTTTGAAAATTTAATTAACTTTTCATCGGATATTTTAATATACTTTACGGGATGATTTATGTGTGTATGAAGTATTTATGTATGACATCGCTTTGTAGACTTTTACGGGGCTTCAAATACTATGTCACACGGTGTCCAACGCGCACGAAGAGAGAGAGAAAGAGAGAGAGAGAGAGAGAGAGAGAGAGAGAGGACGCGCAGAAATATATGTAAATAGTAATTACGATAAAATCTTTCAGCAAAAATCGCTTCCGCACTAAAATTCAAAGCCCAGCAGATGCTCGGAGATCTGTGAGAATTTTTTCGCCTTTAAATGAGTTTTAAATAATTATTAAACGGGATATGAAATTTAAAAAAATTTACCTCGGCAAAATAAAGATCCGCCTCTCTCACGATCTGCCTCATGCGATTGTTACCGCCGTACATTCAAACGGTTGACCCGAATCGGAACGTACCAATAAGCGTTTTCGAGAGAGAGAGAGAGAGAGAAAGAGAGAGAGGGCCGATAATATAGTTAGGACGCGAAGGGTAGTAGTTATATTGCCCGCCACCATTAATAAAGTTGAAGTTCGGACATAGATTGGTTTTACCGAGGTTTCGGCCGGTCGTACGTGTTCCACGTTATAGCGTTTCAATAAAGATACAACCCACGATTGGAGAACGGACATGGGAAGATTAATTTTGCGGCACGACCGAGCGTACCTTTTATTTCGGAAGCCCACCGAACGGAACAGAAGACGAAACCAATATAACCGTTGAGAATAACCGTTACGAATATTTAATATTTAATGTAATATTTGTTATTTGTTATTAACCTTTAGTGTGAATGTGGATCTGAAGCATACTTAAGGTAGTTGCAGCGCTAAGTGCCGTATTTGCAGTGGCGTATCAAGAAGGCTATTCATCAATTTAGCATTTATCAAGAAAAATTACATTCCTATGCATTTATTTTATTATCTAAATATGAATTTTAAACAAAGTTGAGATAGATATATATGTACATAATATTACTGATATGAAAATATTATTATTTTTCATTTTTCTTACTAGTGCCATTTTTATGCATCAGTTGATCTAATAGAGATGTACAGATCAAAATATGATCTTGAGGAATACTTATAAAACATATTATTTTCAGTTCCCAAATGGAACAAAAAGTCAAGATGACCTTAACATGATATCATTTTGATGTTTTCGACGAATTCTTGAAAAACACATTTTATGCTACTACTATCTTAACTATACGATCGCGTTCTCGAACTTCCGGCTATGGATACACATACGGACTCGCGCTTTCGTAAGTGCCGCTCGTAGGATTCGCGAAAGGCGACGCGTCGAATTTTGGACCGCCGCGGTGAGGCTACAAGAGGGTCGAGAAAGCAGCTTTGCCTCGAGCTAGGTAGCCGAGGAGGTGTGTTCCGGGTTCTAACCCACGGCGGGGGGTGACGCCAGGTCTCGACCCATAATCCAGTGCGGTGGCAACTGATTATACCCCACCTCCCATTTTAATCTTATCCTACCTCTCTCCTCCACAGCCCTTCCCCGTACCGTTCAACCCTCTCGCCCCGCACGCGCGCGGGCGAGCGAGCGCGCCCTCCACTCGAGCCTCATCCTCTTCTTATACGCCCAACCACGCGCCTTCTCCATACCGCCGGAGCTTCACGTCAATTAGAATAAGGTTGGCACTTTCGGTACGAAGAGTAATTACTTTAATTAACAAAATGGAGGTGGGTATGCGCGAGTTGCCCCCTCCTCCACCCGCCTCCCTCCGCCGATGTTAGCCGTCGCTACCGCCGCCACCAGCATTGCCGCCGCCACCGCCGCCGCCGCTGCCTCCACGTCTTTTCGAGCTTTGGCCACGAATCTATCGCGTGAAGGATTCGTGCGATCCTTTCCGCAAGGCAAGTAAGTACCAAGGCGAGAGCTCGCGATGATGCTCGCCTGCACGACGTGTGGACGTATTCTCTAACAATGTTAACTGACGCGAACAACGGACAACGATATCCGCATTCCTATCGCATTTTTCAGCGCTGGAGAGTGGCTGTCTGCTTTTGCGTCTCATCGAGATGACATTGTCGAATGCGTGTGCGAACGCAAGTTCGCAAACACGGAGAGCCGCGTCCAGTGCCAAAAATGTGCGGTGAAAATATTCCGCGACGGGATTCGCGACAGTATTTTGACCGAAGCTTCATCGAGAGATCGAAATGTCCTTCGAGTGGAAGTTTCACTCCGACCGTTTAATTCCGAGTAATAATTTCGACCTTCGACCGATGAGCATAGAATCGTCTTTATAAAGTATTCGCAGATGGAAGTTCGCAATGAACCACAAGTGTCGCCTACAATTATAATCGCGATACTCCATCACGAAAAAAAAAAGATAGTAACGGAATGCGTCCTACCTGTCGTCCTTGCCGGACGGTTTATCGAGGGGTCCAACCGTGTGTTGCGGGGGTGGCATGCTGTAGCACGGTGCCGGGGTGTAACCCGCTGGAATCTGATAACCGGAAGTCACCGGGCCACCCGGGTAAGTTCCACCACAGTTGTAACCTGCAGTGGGGTAAGCGGTGTACGTGTTTCCGGGATACTCGGGTTGAACGCCGGTCATCCCGTATCCTGGATGAGGACTCATTGGTCCGTAATCTGGCGCAAGAAAAATTAAGCAAATAAAGCAACGGTCGTATATCAGTAATATTTTTCAATAAAACGATTTATCTTGTACAAAATCCCTGGGCTCAATACTGGAACTACTGATCATAATACTTTCTCATTAAAATTCTAAATGCGGTTTAAGGGAAATTACAAATAGAAGTTAAAAATAGGACATTAACTTTAAGAAATATGTATAAAAAGTGTAATTTTCAGTTGCGAATACTTTAGCTCCCGAATGATCAATCTACTTGTAATTGCGCCAATAATTAGGTCATATTTAAATCTATATATAATGCAAGTTTCTACAAATTCTTAAAAAAAAACATTTAATTTTTTTATACCACAACTACTTTAGTACGATTTAATTCGTCAAGAGTTTTTAACCAATTGAATCCAAAAAATGAATCCAATAAATGACGAGAGAATTATCGATACCGCGATATCGGTCGGCGAGCGTCATGAAAAACCAAGAATATTAACTTCAATTAGACCGTACGGAGCAGAGAAAAGGCACGATTTCTGGGACACCCTGCGCAAATACGCGCACACGCGTGTCATGTAATCGCGCACCGCCGAACGGCAGACGCGGAAATAGCGCGAACATAGCCGCGGCACAGGAGCAGCCCGCTGCTTGATTAACTGTTGTAAAATCTACACGTTTATTTACTGGCAAGAATTCATTTTGTCGAGAGAGCACGCAGTGCAAATAGCCGACGGATGGAAGGCCGACTGTGCGCTCGCGCGCTCGACGTCGCGTGAACACAGCGGGCCTGTGTGTGTCGAGGCCGGGGAACACGGCGCTGTGTGTGCTCGAATGTTTCAATTTCAATAACTACTCCCCAGCGTCAGAGTCCGCACAATATCGGCCGCGCCGGACTTTTGCCGGCGCTACGTGTACGCGAAATATTGATAATTAACAATGGCCGTGTACCGTCACAGGGGGTGGTTCGACGGGAAGGGTGCGCACGGTGCACATTCAGGCCGAAGGATAGAGGAAAAGAGAGAAAGAGAGAGAGAGAGAGGGAATGACGGGCGAGGGAGGGAGAGTGCGAGAAACGGAGAAAACGGGGGACGATCGGAGGGAGAAAGAGAGAGAACGAACGCGCGGGGGCGGAGGGATGGGAGGGAGAGATGGGCCGCGGGTTTGGAATGCCAAGGTACAGAGAGACCGAGGAAAATGAGAGTTCGGCCATAGGTGCCTATTATAGCAGTCCATGTACTGTTCTGGTGAATTTTTATTCGACGGTTGTAACCGCGTATCGTCCCCTACACCCACCTACGTCCCTCGCCACCCTTGCCGACCCCCGGGGGCGTCGGGCTCTTTGTTCTCCTCCGAATCCCTCGTCCGCGCGCCCCGTCGCCCCCGCTATCGCCTGACGTTACACGACGCCCGTGTAAGGACACATTAACGCTCCGCGTGTGTCTCCCCCGCCGCGTGTACCGAGTAAAATTTATAGCGTTAAGGACACGCCGTCGTGCCCTCCTCCGCGCGCGCGCACGCCCGTTTGTTTTTTCACCCCGTCCCATCTTCGCCCGGCATTATCGCGCCCCGAAATGACCGCTCCGCCGCCTTTCTCGCCGTGTTCTCGCGGCGAATTCGCCAATTATGCCGCGTGTACGCCGCGAGATAAGCGGCGCGTGGAAACGCGACAGTTCCGAGACCAAGAAACGCCGTCATTTTTGCCAACGTTTCAACAGGACGCGAAAATGTTCGTATATTCGCGCGATATTCCGGCGCGAAAGGAAGCCTCCGCGACATGAATATCTCACCGCGACGTTGATTTGACCGTCAGTCATTTCGGCGAGCGTGCGACTTGCGTTCCGCAAAAATCTTTCGCAACTTGACTTGAATTTTCTAACAGGGCTGGAAATTATATTCGAATCTTCGAATTGCTAAATCTCCGACACGTTATGTTCCAATAATGAAATTTTGAACATGTGTGAAAATTCGGACATTCGGATACTCGAATATTCGAATTCTTACCGTCGGAAAGGACGTCTTAATGTTGCCTGAGTTAAACTGATACTTTCTAATTGCACAGCATTTTTTTGCACTCTCCGAAATTAGTTTTATTAGCAGCTTCGACATTTCGAATCTTCGAATAGAGTTTGAAAGCTTCGAATATATCGAATAGTACCACCCCCTATTTTCTGATGTTTCTTTAATGTTTCTAATGTTGAATTTTCCAATTTCCCGACGAACAACGTCAAACGTGAGCGCGAAGGAGAGCCGCACGGGGCGCGGATCGCGCAGTTATCCGATAAACGATGATAACTCACTAGTAGGCTCTCGGTAGGCGTCCATGTAGTGGGAACCCCCGCTGTCGGGCGTGCTCTCGCGACTGTACGCCGTCACGTGCACCCCGGGCGGCGGAAACCCGGGAACAGGCCTGATCCCCGGACCTCCGCTGAAATTGACTGGCTCGTTCGCCGTTGAGAAATCAACGGGCTCGGTCTGCTCCTCGATCGGCCGCGGCGCTGGGAAACCCGGACCCACCGGAACCGCCACGGCTTCACCGTGACCGGTGGAGTACTGCGGACTGGGCGCACCACTGCAATAGATGCAATATGTATCTGTCTGGAAACTGTAATTTAATTTCAGCTGAGATCTTCCAAGTGTCTGATATCATTCCGAGGCGCCCTAGAGACTTCATCAGGTTAGAATCTATTCGAGTCTAATAAAACCTGACAGAAAAAAGCGTTATATTCAAATAAATAATTATTTCAATATTCCTTAGCAAATTTTTGCTTGGAACATATATATATATATATATATATATTTATTGATTTGATCCAAGTAAAAATTTGTTAAGGAATATTAGAATAATTATTTAGTTGAATCTAGCAATTTTTTCTGCGTGTTAATTTCTGATTTAATTTCCGACGTTCGAATTTCGAAAGATGAATCTTTACAAAACTTTACCAATGACCGGTGTTATAATATTATTACGTTCTTTTAGTTTACATGTATAAGACATAATCAATAACATGAAAAATATATCGGATAAGAAACAATGAAACGAGCTAACAAACAGCGTGAATCATAGATTATTTACCACCTTTCTCGTCGCATTAAAACTTTAGTTTTTTCGAGATAGTCACTGGAAATCATCATGTTAAACATCACACGTCTTGAAAGTCGCACTTAGAAATCATAGTCGAGTTTGACTCCGATCGATACGAGAGGTATCACGTACCTGTGAAGTCTGTTGACGCTGAGGTCCAGAGTCTGGCCCTGAGGACTAGGGACTTGAGGGCTGGCCGTCAAGTGGGGACTCGCTGCTGCCTGAGGACTGCTTCCCACCGTTTGTCCTCCCCCATACTGCGGACTGAGACTGTTCGAGCCGTAGGGTGGCGCCTGCGAACCACGTCGTCGTCGTCGATAAAAATCCGAAACTTCTCCTTGCGCGCGCGCGCGCGCTCACGAGAGATCGAGCGGTTTCAACTCACCTGCGGACTGGTGGAGGTAACACTGGAGGTAGATAAGTCCATCACCGATCCCCCAGGCGAGGTGGGCGGTCCACCGGGTTTCTGCATCTGCTGCACCTGCGCGACCGTAACACACTTCACTGCAACATCCACAGAGACGCAACGTTTAGTCACGGCCGAGTCTTGAGCACCCGCGGGGATGATTCCGAACAAGTTACCATCTTCGGTCTTCATCATTCCTGCCGCGGTAGCGGCGGCCATCGCCATCTGATGCTGTTGCGCGGCCGCCGCTGCCTCCTGGTGGTAAACCCGCTCCTGCTCCTCCGGCGTCATGCCGGTCTGACCCAGATAATACATATTCGCCCTCGAGTGGAGCTGCTGCTGCTGCTGCTGTTGCTGCTGCTGCTGCTGTTGCTGCTGCTGCGACGGTATCGGCACGCACGACTGCGTGTCGTATCTCTCGTAGGTCGCGGTGGTACCCGGATCGTAAGGCCGGTGATTGGCCGCGCTCACCACCGCGTTCTCGTAGCCTCTGCCGGCCGCGATGTCGTTGGAGTACGTGACTACCGGTCGCGCGATGTTGCTCGCGCCCGGGTGCATGTACGCTCTCGCGTGCTCGGTCGACCTGTGGTGGTAGAGGTCCTCCGTGGTGGTCGCAGCCGCAGCTGCGGCAGCCGCCGCGGCCATCATCGCCGTCGGCTCGTACGGTGACCTTTGCGACATCTGATGGCTCATTCTGGTGTCCTCCACCATCGGCATCGGATAGGCGACCGGTTGCATCGGTAGCACGTGGTGCGTCGGGTGCTGGCTGGGGTGGTGGATCGTCGCGCCTATGGACTGCCTGGAGCCCATCGCGTCCATCGACGACATGGACGAGGAGTTGGAGTCTTGGCTCATGTAGGAATCGTAGGTCTGTCGCACCGCGGGGGGCGGCGGCGGCGGCGGCGAGTTCACGCGGCAGGACGCGGTGTCCTCCGTCTTCGGGACCAGCAGCTCGCCCGTGTTCTGGTTCCTCGTGGAGAGGGTGTTGCAGCAACTGCTGCTGAGGGTCATGTTCTCCGTCTTGGGCACCTTGGTGGGCCGCGTCGTGCTGTTCTCCTCGGGCGTCTTCGGCGGCTTCACGTTGATCCCGGTGTTCTTCGTCGTCGAGTAGTAGTCGTAGCTCAAGCTGCTCAGCACCGGCTTCGTGTCCTGCGCCGTCGAGCCGTACTGCGAGTAGCTCTTCGTGTCCATCGATGGCGGTAGGAGATTCGTGCTGATGTACTCCGGCGGTATTCCCGGCACTGTCGGGCGGGTAGGAAGTCGCGTGTGTTTAATCGCAAGTGGATGAGACGCGCGGGGCACGGGGGGTTTTCTCGCAAGAACTTGGAGTGTCAGTGCGGATCGACGTTCGTGTCAAATCAAATGTACTACTCTCTTCTACTAAGAAGCATTGTTACGCTCGCTAGTATCCCATATCAAGTAACATGCAGCTGTCGATGTCGCAGTAAGACACCTCAATGGATCAGTTCGAAGGAACGACAGCTCAATGAATTTTTGTCTTCGGCGCGCATAATGCATCTCTTGCACAATTAAGATTATTATATAATAAATATGATCCTTTCAAGGACCGTCGAGGATACTTGCAACGTTCGTTCGCATTCAACTAATGGGAACAAAATGTCCCGATAATCACGTTTATTCTACGGAAAGTTGTACAAGAGACCTCGAATCGCGTTGCGTTGCGAACTGAGCCATTGACGTTACATCTGAGCCTTCGAGTCGACTGAAAATCTAACCCAACCGCTTTTTCGAAATCAAAAGACACTTCTCCGATTCTTAGGAGTAGATGCAAATGTGCTGCATTATCCCGAGTGCATCCCGAGTCGGAATTTTAAACCTACTTTCGACCCGAATTTTCTAACATTTGTAGGTTCTGAAGGATCAATGTAGATTTCATTTTTCATATGGAAATTTTCCTATACAGTAAAAAATTCTGTGTAAACAACGATCCATTGAAATTTTTGCGTTATTTTAATATGGGAATATATAAAAAAAATTACACAGATATATGTTAAATTAACATATTTACTTTGTTAACATATTATTTTTTTTAATATATACCTTGTTAAAGTAATACAAAAATTTCAGTGGACCATTATTTACACAAAATTTTTTACCGTGTACTTAGCCCCTCTAAATGACAGAAAATGTATAAAATGCCACTTGTAAGTCCTAAGAGAACTTCAGCAAAGCTTCGTAAAACCTTTCGTGTCTTCCAAACCGAACCTGTTCTTCTAATATTATTAAGATATTACATTCACATTATCGAAGGTTATTGAAGGAGATAATTTTATATTTGATAGCAATAGTACATAAACGTCATGTGCGTAAAAAATAATATTAAATTAATTTCTTCTGCCACTACTACTGTAGCTTGTGTTCACATGGTTATTAATAATAAAATGTATCTAGATATTCCTGCAAATCGGCAAGAACTTAAATAATGATACAAAGTTAACAATTGGAAATTCGACTATTTAAATCGTTACGATTTTATTAAGCGTCACGAGTTACTTTTTTCAGTGGGTAACGAGTAACGGTAACGCATTATTTTTTCAATGAGTAACGAATTACTCTTCAAAAGTAACTTTCCCAACCCTGATATCCAAGTAGACTTTACACAGAATATCGAGGTCGGAGGTAGAGCTACACAATTTCAACTAGAGAGGTTAAATAGAATCAAACGAGGTATAGACTTCAGAATATCAATGTAGGCGTCAAATGGAATTTTCAGGTCGGAAGTAGGATGAAAATTTCGACTCGGGATCTCGTCGACACAATGCGCGATAATGTTCAGTATCTCAGCTGACACGTCCGCGCGTCGTGCGATCTCGCGCAGGGAATCGGCCTCGCGACCCTCGTCGGGGCGAATGCCACGGGCGAAGCCAGCCCGAAGAGCGAGATGCGTGTCTTACGCGCGCAAGATTACAGAACCTCTACTCTCTCGTCTCTAGCGGTCAAGCGTTAATCTCTCGTCGCGTCTAGCGGGCAGCGCGAGGGGATTTTCGTGTCCGGGCCGTATCAAGCCGGACGCGCACACGGTGGGACGTGGGTGACCTGTGCTGCCTTACCTTGAGCCTTGTGTCGTGCCTCGCGTGCGGCCTGCTTATTGGCCGCGGCGATGGGACATCCGGACAGGCTCCTGTGCGTGTTCCGATTGGAGCTGACATGGCCGCGGCCGTTGCAACCAGGCGTCGGGCATTTCAATATAGTCTCATGCATCGCCAGAACTGCGAGAACCCAGAGACACGCGGCGTGGTTACAGACACGTCTTGGCACGCTCACGTCTTGTTACGCACACACAATTAGAGAGACACGGCGCACACGCACGCGGCAGGTGGTGCCGTAAGGCAAGAGCCGTCTTGATGCGTTGAGTATAATTATCTCCGGGGGGAGGGGGAGAGGGGGGGGGACGCGTTTCCCTCCCCCGCGAAAGGGAACGAAAAAGCCGAACGGTGAAAGCAGGTCTCCGGACGCGAGTCGTTCTTTTCGATTCACGAATGAACGAGCGAAGAGGCCTCGGCTCGAGAGAGGTGGGGAAAAAGAGACGAAGTCTCGTACGCGCATGGCGCGCGTTCCTGAGAGGAGGAAATGAAAAAACGTAGGACGTAGCACCCGAGTGTAAAGGGGTTGGAGTACGCAGCGTCCCCCTGCCACACCACGGAACGCAAATCAACGTGTAACAGTACAATCAAGTATACTGAGCGGGTAGAGAGAAACACAAGTAAAGACAATCAATTAATCAATCAATCAATCAATCGATAGAAAATGATAACACAACAATTCGCAAAATCTGTGTGAGGGGAAGTGTGCCGCGTCGAGGTGAGAACGTCTCCCCGTCGCGGAGGAAACGCGAGTGAACGAACCGCAAAGTCGGTTGCGACGCCTTTCAGGAAAAGACTTTACGTTCTCGATGCAGGAGTCGGAGGGCAGATCATGGAGAAGAAGAGATAGAGAGAATGAGAGGGGGGTGGGCGACAAGCTTACCATAAGAGTGGATACGAAAATTATGCGAGTGTAATAACTACACGCAGATGACTACGCGTACGCTCTCGGCGCAACCGCTGAATTTGTCGTTAACGGGGACCGGTTATCTCCGTCTCGCTGTGGAGAAAGTCCCGTCGAGATGGGAAGCTCGGCATCGATCATCCGACCGATCGTTGCGTAATTATACTCAATCGCACAAGTGTCCTCCGGTGTGAAATGTCCGGCGTGTGCGCATACGCCGGCTCGTCGCGCCGCCCGTGTCTCGAGTTCTCCAGAGGGTTCGTAGGCACGACCAACACAACCAAGTTCGAGTGTAGTGATAATTTTCTACTATAATGAACTACAAACAGAACGGTAAATTAAAACGGAAGAGTAACCCAATAAATAAAGCTCTCTACCCCGCAAACGAAAAGCGCAAAGAATACAACAGACAGATACACAGACACACACACATACACACACACACACGAACGCACGCACGCACACACACACGCGCAACGCGACGCGTGCACCGCGCTCATCATTGGAGAAAAAACATTAATTTTTTTTCCCTTTTTAATTTGATCTCGTGTATCGAAAATGCACTTCTGTTGCGTTTAATGAGACGAGGAAGCCGCGGCGGAGAACAATGCTCTCTCTCTCTCTCTCTTTTTCTCTCTCCGTCCTTCGCGAACGATCGACGAGTCCGATCGCGAATGGCACAGAGGCAGAGCGAATTGAATCACAGACAGGCTATTCCGATCGCTCTATTTGAAGAGTATGATTTTCAGGTTTTGGTCTATGCGACGGTATACGGCGAATTGTTTCAAAAATTCAAACAGTCAATCGGTGGAAAATGCGAAACGAAGACACGAAGAGATTTTAATGAAATTACTTGGAAAGGTACTTGAGAAACAGAAGTACGTGAGGATATTCAATAGAACGTGATTACGTTTGAAGAATTTCGTGGTGTCTTTGCGCGAAACGCACTCTTAAATTATGCGTTATCAACCGTGAAATGCGAAAAAAAAATGGTTCTCGTCGACGATTCGCACCCCCACTTCCTCGCCGCGTGGTGAGAAAAAGGCACTCTCGCAAAAAGAAGATGCACTATGTAGCTACGATAAGAAGTAATTGGCTTAACGAAGAAGTACTTACTCTCTGGAGTCAATTTATCCTTCTGTGGACATCCGGAAAGACTGCGAACACATTGAAGCCGATTAACAAACGTTTGAGACTACGAGATTTCGATTGATCGGCCTCTCTTTTAAAAATTGCATCGTGTCACGGCTTTGTATTCAAACTAAGCGCGTTTCCATTCGCATTATCTCACTATCACGAATTAAATGTTCGATTATCGTAGGCGTACGAGTATCGTATTTCAACGCGTTGCACAGGATCCGACATGTAGGTCACGAATTGGCCTATTGACGTCGGTTTCCTGCGTAACGACCCCGCTCGATTCTCCGGTAAAACCGCGTAGGTGTGTAATCGGCCGTGGCTGAGTGCGGAGCGCAGGTTAATTACCGATAATTGCTTACCTGCGATGGTGAGAGTAGAGTCCGGTCACGTGACCCTGCCCCGTGCAGCCTGGGGTCGGGCACTTGTTGCCCTCTGCAACAAATCAAACGGCCACGCAGAGCCAGATGTTAGTCCATTAAGTGCCGCTTAAGATATTCACGAGATACGACGTACGTGCTAGTTTTTAGCCAAGCTTTTAGCGGCTAAGCTCGTGCGCCGGATAAGCGTGAGCTTCGCTTCGATCTGGATTCGAGCCGATTAAGTTGCGCACGGAAATATCGAGGCTTCGTCGTGATAAGCGGTAGAGTAAATCTACGGCGGTTCTGAGCACGAATTAATTCACACTTTACTATTAATAATAAGATCAACTATTGACAATACTATAATTTATATCATATTGATAATATCATAATTAATAAATTATTGATAATATTAATAATTATTAATAATTAAGAGCTTACGAGAGTTCATCGCTGATAATTTTATTGGCTAAAAAGATAAGTTCTTTTAAAGCCACGAGATTAGATAATCGCCTGAAAGGTGGCAAAAAGTGCTGAATAACGATGACAGATATTTTGATTAAATGACATGTATTGTTTCGTTATTATTAATAATTGAAATACGGCTAGAAAAACGACGAAAGCAATTTGTCGAATTTGGACGTGACAAAATTTAGCCTATTGTCTCTACTTTTTTATTACCCGGGAATTCAAGAAATTGATTAATCGACCAATGTCATTCGCTTCTCTAGTGGATCTTGACTCAAAGGTAGATACGCTGAGAATGCCGCTAGGAGAAGCTACGGTTCCGCTTTAAGCTCATTACATTTCGACATTAATTACACACCACGACGATACCGGGTGGGCGAGCGGCATTATCGGGCGGCCTCTGCGTTGAGTTATTTCTATGCCGAAAATTGATGATCCTGATACAAGCGAGCTGTAATTCTGAATAAATTGGATATTTACACTGTCGACGACTGTTGTTCGTCATGACGCGGAACGTGTCGGCCGGAATGCGGCGCCGGCTTAATACGCATTAATGCGTTGTTATTGCACATTTGGTTTCATAATCTTGCACTCGCGGTCAATTGACGCGAAATATCGCGCGCAAAACTCACTTTCGACTCCGCGACCACCCGTGTACGCTCGCAAGTCGATATTCCAAGCGAAGACATCGCCGCAACGCGACGCGGCTTTGTGGAATTTAGATCTCACGCTCGATGACGAATCCTGTACTGGCATTTTATATGTAAAATATTTTTTTCCTAGCAGTCGCATACAGAGAAGTATTATTTTGCAAATGATGACTTATAACTGACAGCGCAGTCAATAGATAGATATTAATTAACCGCTAGATATGCATGGATTACCGCGTGCTCGAGAAATTACGTTTTCCCACACAAATTTTCGAATAAATATATTGTTGCAACTGCGTGAGATCGTATGGGCAACACGTGTGGAAAACGACGAATCGTTAAAAAAAAAAATGCAACTTGGAAGGCATAGAAAAATGTATATGAACTGGAAAGTATGTGCAAAATAATATAACACTTCGGTATGCTCGCACAGTACTGCTAGCGCGCGAGCAGTTGAATGGAAATTAACTATTGAATAGCTGACAGCCGACGTGTCCGACATCGCCGCGTAGTTTCATTCTGCATCGCGGCAGAATATAGTTTGCTCCCCGTTTGCCAATATATCACGTATACCTTATCCCTCACAGAGAACGTTGAACACGTCAGGGCGGAGGACTCTGCGGGCGCTGAGAGCGAGGAACGTTCATTTCACGTAAAAATCTTACCTCGCAATCATTTCATTATTATAAATTTAATAACGATCTTACGTCGCGTTGTAAAATGGAATATAGAGTTACGGGTGTATATCCCTCCAAATAAAATTAAAATAAAAAGGAAATGCCTAACGTTAACGCTTAAACGTCAAAGAATATTATCTTTTCGTGTTTAGAATATCCGACGGCTCTTTCGTCTCTTTCTTTCGTCTTGGGAAGTGAAAAGAAAAAATGGAAGAGAATAATGGATATATATATATATATATATTTTTTTTTATCTGCGTGTATGCCTATAACAGGCTTTCGAAATATCTTCAGGAAAGGATTTCAAGAAATTTGCACGGCTTCCTCGAGCGTGCACGCTATTTAATGGCATTTTTCAGGATGAGTTTCCCCAATCCTGGCGAGAGGTCCCGAGTGAAAGTTGAAAGGACGGTCTAGAAGGGTAGAAATGGCCTCGCGTGCGGTCAGCCTCGGATCTCGTCGCACGAGTTACGCATTTGTGAATAGCCTCTGGGATTTCTCCGTCCCGTGACTAAGCCGTCGGGATTAGCACGGGGTATGTGGCCGGCCTACAACTGTCCGCGAAACAAAGAACGGATAGATGCCCCGCTCCCATGCTCCCAGAACGAAACTTTCAGCGATCGGGAAAAAAGTTCCGTCGCGCACGATCGCTCCTATCTATGCATTAATGTTCGACATGTTGTTCTTTTTGTTCTTTTTTCATCAACATTTACTATTCGTTAATATTCGTTAAAACACGTTTGCACCCTTCGCTGAGCAATTCGCAAGAGGTCTCGTTCGTTCCAAAATATTCGAATCGAATATTTGCATTTTGCGAGAAGTGCGAGAGAGAAAGAGAGAAGAGAGGGAGAGATGTCGCAAACATGCACAGCGCTCCGTCGCGCAGTTTGGTTCGCCCACGATTGGCGCAACCCTTACCGCCGAGGTACACGTCTGCATTAGCGGACAATTTCTGAATTTTTTCGAAACTTTTTTAACTTCCCTTTGTTCTTACAACGCTAAACACGAAACTACGGCCACGGTGCCAGACGAGCATGCCCGAACGACCGATTGTACCATCTGTCGTGCGCTAAGCCGTAACTTAATGGTGGGTATAGCGCACGTCACGTATGATCGCGTTCGTATTCCCGGGGCGACCTCGCGTGACCAGACAATTACAGGTTTCCAGTGCACTGCAGGTAGCCGAGAAGTACCAATCGGTTAATACGATCCCCTTCGGCAGGGCTCTCTTTATTTCAATCGTGAACGAATAATGTGTGACGAAAGACGTATGCCCAATCCTTAGAATCGGACGGTGCTCAATCAGTCGAGAGCTGTTGCGAGCTTCATTTGCACGATACGGCCTCGCGATAACAATTTATTTATAGCCGCTGAACCTCTACATACCTTATAAGAAATTTGCACACGTAACACGTATGCGCACAGAGGCTGGTCTAACGACATTAATAAATAAGTATATGATGCGAATGAGAGCTGCAAATGCTTGAGAAGTGTTTAAATGTTTTATTTACAATAACAACGTGACCACATTCCACACAGACTTTCAGACTCGGGCTTGACCAACATCACGGGAAAAAAAAAATTAGCTCCCACAATTAACAACTAGCTATTCAAACGGAAAAAATTTTGATTGGATTTACCAGAATTTACAGTGAACAAGCCAACACGTTTTGGTTGAAGGAAACAGAATTTCTTGTAAGAACGCAAATTTTAATCATAAGAATCGGAAATTCGGTTTCCTTCAGTCGACGCGTTTAGTTTACATTCACTGTTCGGTAAATTTAACCAAATCTTTTTCCGTGCACATGATACAACTGAAATTTAGTTACCGGATCTAGTTTTTAGCTATGGGAAGTAATTATTTCTTTCCGCATACGACTATAGTTCTAAGAATTAGTTCTCGTAGCTAAACACTAGGTTCGATAATTTAATTTCAGTCGTATTATATGGATAGTTAATTTTTAGCTGTGGGAGTTAACTTCCAGCTGTCAATTCCCCTTTTCCGTGAGATTGGAACTCTCGATCAGTCCGTTGGTAGAAGAGATCTCGTCTCGCGTAATATGCCGTTTCGGGATGCCGGACATCATCGCGGGGTACACACGTCATGGTCGCAACGAATCATAGGTAGGTTTGTCACGTGTGTTAGAGGATTCGGAAAGGGATTCCGCGGGAGCCCCTTAAGGGGAGGCCAGCTTTAGGTTAGTTCGACGGGGGGTTTCTCCTGAAGTGAGCGTACTTTTATAAACTTTGTCGTGTACTAATCCTCCGCCCGGGTCTGATCCCCTAGCCAACTACGCCGGGGCTCTCCAATCGACCGCCGTGACGCCGAGAAACTTCATCAGGTCGTCATTTCGCGTTCCAGAAGAGCGAGAACCGACGACGGGCGGGATGGAGAAAGAAAGTCGATCCCTACTTAGGTGCTCGCCTTTTTCTTAAGACGGGTGGCGGCTGCCGCCCACCCACCNTTTATTTGCGGGCCACGACGCTCTCCGAGTTCCGAAGTTGAACAACGGCGCGCGCGCACACGCTGTCAGGATTGTTCCAAGCCCCGCGTAATTCCCCGGGAAGAAACTCGGACGGATTAATTCTGTTTTGAAATCAAAGTTTCCCGAAGATTAAAGTTGAAAAGTGCTCGATTTTCGTCGGAGCAGAAGTAAACATCGCGAGACGAGACACACGGAGAAGGCGAACGTTTCGAACGAGCGACGGAGGAAGGCGCCGGGCAGGAATGTCGCGGGGAATCTTGCGAAAGTTCGGGACGCGCGTGACCGGCAGGAAATCGGGTGTTATTTTTATTCCGAGGGAAGAGATCGCCGCGGCTTCCTGGTTTTTAATTAGCGCCGGGTAAAAAAAGGTCCACCGGATAACCGAGGGCGAGCGGTTGCCCTGCTAGGATTAATAAATTAGCCGTAAGGTTTTAAAACGGCCACGTCGCTGGCTAAGCTCAGGGGTGGAAAGGAAAAAGTGAGGAAGGTCGAAAAAGAGAGAGAGAGAGAGAGAGAGAGAGAGAGGGGAGGGAAGGAGCGAAGGGATAGATAATGGTTCCGGTCAACAAAATGAATACCGGCACGCGCTGTACTTTCCGGATGTCTGAATAGACTTGTAACGAGTCGGTCAGACCTGCCTTCAGCCCCGCTTTCTTTCTCACCGTCTCTCCGGCTCGCCATATCGCGTCACCTCTTTCTCGCCCTCAGATCTTATCCTCTCCTCTTCCCTTCGCCATGCGAACCCTCTTTCGTTTCTTTTTCCCTGCAGCGTGCTGTAATGGAGCAGTGTGAGTCGGAGGGAAGAGAGAAAAGAGCGGAATCAAGGGGTGAGAACGAGGACGAGCGCCGGTCACCGAGGGTGAGCCCGTGGTCGCGTTGTAATTGTGTTATTTTGTAGCCATTTCACGTGAGGGTTCGCGGAAGGGGTAGACGTGTATATAAACACCGGGATTGTTTTATTTCGCCCGGCTCTCTTTCTCTCTCTTTCTCTCTCTGGCGCGCGACACGCGCCGAGACTATCGCCCGGCCGCGGAAAAAATCGTCGCCGTCGTCAAGATAATCGGGGTCGAATTGAGCGCCCGCCGGTCGCGCTAATTATTAACTCGCCGTCAAAGGTCGTTAATCAGCGCAATTGGGTATTCATGTGTAACGGATGAACATTCGCGCGAGCCAATTAACCCCGAAATGGGAGGCGTTCATTGACAGTAATACCCGAATTCGATCTGCTCCAGATTGTAAATTGAGTTGATTCGCGCGAGTGTTGTTTAATTGATATTAAAAATTTCCCCGTTTTCAGCACCGCCCCCCTCCCCCCCCCTCCNCTCCTCGTCAACGATCGTTCGTTGCTCCGTCGAGAGTGAGGAAGGAGGAGCCTCTAAGAAGCCTGTCTTCGTCGCGGAAGAAGCTCGTGCCTGACGTAACGTCGAGATTTCTCCGGCGAAAGTCAACGTGATGCGTCTTAAAACGACGCGCCGATAATTGATGGCGAAAAATAAACGCCTATTTTGAAGCGCTGCTCCCGCCTTGTAACATGTAAATTTAGTCGCGCGAGGTCGTACGAGCGCTCCAAACGGGAATCTCCGATAGAGGCGACGTGTAACCGCACAAAACTCGATCATGCGGGACAGTCGATGCATATAATACGTTCCCGGTAGCATACATTCCCTCGTGTCGCGCTGAATCGCACGCTGGACACGCTGGATAAGGAAAAGACCGGAGGTTCTAAAAAAAGAGAACAGCTCGAGGAACAATCACAAAGTAGGTATTTACACACGGAGGCGCGCGCGCGCGCGCGAGCGGCGCCCTTAAAGGGAGGGTAGAGCCCTCGCGCGCGAGTAAAGGTCCTTTTTATGCGTGCGGTCGCAAAGGTAGCGTAAAATTGAGTTACAGGGCAGTTTATTTTTTTATTAGCCGGCTCGACCCCGTCGCGCGCGCGAGAGAGAAAGAGAGAGAGAGAGAGAGAGAGCGCGCGCGGCTCGGTCTTTCTCGACGCGGAAAGGGTGGTTTTTGCGGCCGACGGATTTCCCGATAGCGGTTTTATGGCGTGTCAACACGCTCTTACGCGCCTGCATGTGAGCGAGCGCGCGAGCGGCGAATAAAAAAAAAATAAAAAGGGCGCACGCGATCGCCAGGTTGAATCGAAGAGATCAAGAGCGACACTCTCGGCGGCTAGAGAGGGACAGAGCGATGCTCGGCTCGCGGTGAGAAAGGGAGATGGATTCCCGATTAAAAGCCCCGGCTTGACCGACTCCGGTACGGCTGTATCGCCGTCACGCTGATAAGTGCGCGATTAATCGGGCCCATTTATCACGTCGCACGCTTTTGCCCGGGATTTCGCGACGAGCGAACTATTTCAGTCCGTCCGATCCTCACTGACAGTTGCGGCGTCATGGATCGTTTGCATTTTCTCTCTCTCTCTCTCTCTTTAATTGTTCGCAATCACTCGCGGATCATTATCGGGATCCAATTGCAATAACTCTTCGCGTTTCGTTCCGGACGTGGGAGTCAAACGCCGCAGATTGAATTCTTGAGAGCGATCATCCTCGCACAGCCATCGGCCGGAGAAAACGTTAAGGGGATAATGAGGACAGGCAGCCAGGCGCAGGGTGGTAATAAGGTGGCTCGGAGCGGCTGGGATGCTAGTCACGTTTCCAGCCGCTGACAGCTGCGGCTTATACGTATGACGTGGTATCAACCCCAAATTTCCCCGACTAGACACGTCGTGTCTTCGCTGCCCTAAGACCCTGGAATGCACTCGAGCCTCCACCTGTCACACCACGGCGCATCTACGGCGTGACGCGCGAGGGTGGCACTTTGATTCTTCTCGGAAGAAGGATCGCTCTCTCTCTCTCTCTCGTCACGGATTATACTCGTCGCGTCAAACTGCCGAATCTAATTAATCTCATTGACGCTCACCGTGCAAGCACAGCGACCAAAAGTGTCCGAGCGCGGCTAAAGCGTGCCGTTACGTCACAACGTGTTCCGTTTCTCCCGCTAATTTGCTACGCGAAGTTCCATGAGAACGTAAACGCGCCTCGCGATCCTTTCGCGATCGGGGAGATCGCGCGCAACGGCAATCGATGGGACGACGAAGCGGAAGAGTAACGACGCCGACGAGGATGGAATGGCTGTATCACAGGACACGGGGAATAATTTTGCCCGAAGAGACCTTGATTTCAGCATTTGAGTCATCACCCCTCGCTTCGTAATTATTGATTTTCCGCGCTGCCCTAACTCCCCTAACTTCATAGAGAGTAAGACAGAGAAAGCGAGAAAGGGAAAGAGATAGAGAGAGCGAGCGAGAGCAAGGGTGAGAGAGCGAGAGGGCGGAGAACGGCGTAAGCGAGAGAGTCGAAAATGCCTTTTGTCCCCTCTCGTAACGTATAACGCACGAGCGGTAACCCTACTACGACTTACGATTACTATCTTCGTCAATAATTCCGAGAGTCCCCAGCACACACGCGCGCGCGTCCGTATTTCGCTGAGCTTGAAAAATTATATCACCGCAATAGAAGAACCGCATTAACGTCGGTATTATCGTTAGCCCGAACGAGCCTCGATCTCTCTTAGAGAACGCAACAGTGCTCGACAAAATACACGCCTGCTCGTAATTTATTCAATTAACTCGCTAATGTTATCAACATCAGTGAAACGATATGATCTGTTTCTCTCTCGTTCGACGTTAATTCCCAGTAAAAGATGCGCGAGAGTGAACGGACGTGTGACTGCGATCGGATTACGCACGGCCGTGTTCGGCGACACTTCTCTGCTCCTTCACTTTTCTCAATTATCACGACAATGCAGCATCATGACAACACACTTTTTCGCGTCTTTCTCATTACATCGAACTTCGTTTTTGCGTAAATCTAATATTATCTCGTAGCTCTTATTCGCTGCGAGATCTTAGGGGGCGGAGTCTCAGAGCGGAAATAAACGGATCGTCCGTCCTTCCTTCTACGAGTATCCTGCGACTGAGAGTGAATTCGGACGACCGTGGGCGCGATATCGGGTGAACGTCGGGGACGAGCGGACAACGCTTCTATCGGCACACGCCCGGGGCGACGCAACGCGACGGACAAGACGAACATGACGGAAATCATCCTCACCTCTGCCGAGACTGGACGGAGACATGGACATGCCCGGTCTGCCACTGTCGAAGGGTCTCTCTGGCATTTTCATCACGCTGTCCGGCTGGCCGCTCGCGGAAGGCACATCGGCGGCGACGGCCGGACTGGACGTGGTGGTGGTCGTCGACACGGTCGTGATGGTTATACTGGCGATACTGTTTGCGCTCGGATTCCCGGCAGGATTCGCGCCGGCGTTATTGGCACCGCTACCACCGCCGGCGCTCGCTTTACCGCCGACCCCGCTGTTCGCGCTCGCGTTGTTGACGTTGCTCGCACTGCCGTTGCTCGCGTTGCTGCTGCAGCTGCTCACGGCGGCGACACTGACCACCCCTTCCCTCGCGATATCTTGAATCGCACTGGCCGCTCTGGAGCCGACCCCGGCGGGCTGGAGGATCGTGTACTGCTTGGAGGAGTCGGGACTGGTGACGGAGGGCAGACCGCCGGTCGGACTCTTGCTGGGCGACACGGAATTCGAGGTTACGTCGTGCGTCGTCACGTGATGGCTCTCTTCCTTCGAGGACTTGAGCTGCAGCAACGACACCGTGGACGGGTGTTTGTCCTCGGTGGTGGGCGAGATACCGGCGACCGGCTGCGGCGTCGGCATCGTCGGCCCGGGCGTCGGGTAGCCGACGAAGGTGGCGGAAGCCGGGTACGGACCGATCGGGGGGATCGCCGAGGAGGCGACTGGCACTGAAGAAGCGCTGCGACACGGTGCCTTCGTGTGGTCGGTGTTGGGCGGCCTGAAGGCAGACGTCGCCGAGAAGGGGGAGCTCGCTGGCGGCGACGAGGACGACGAAGTCCCCGTAGGCGAGACTTTCATGTTGCTGTCGTTGTACTGTCTCTGATAATTCGAGTAGAGCGGCTGGTGCTGATGGTGCTGCTGCTGCTGACGGCCGATGCTCGGGGGCGACTGACCATTCTTGCACGTCCGCTCGCGCTCCCTGTCGTTCAGCCTGTCTCGATCGCCTTCCTCTTTGTCCGCGGTCGGATCCGACATGTCGATTTCCAGCTCGTTGGACGAGTCGTCGACCAGCTCGTTGAAGTCCGGCGGGTCGTATCTGGAGTACTTGTCGGTTTGTCTACCCTGAGAGTCGATATGTACACCCACCATGCTCCTGTCGCTCCTCTCCTTGCTCGACAGCGAGCGCACGGAGACCGGCCGGATTTTCGACGGTTCGTTCTGATTGGCGTTGCCGACCTGAGACTGAATACCCGCGCATTCGTTCTCCAGCTTCAGCAGATTGTCCAGATCCCTCTTGGTTTTCACCGGGTGCTGCAGCTTCGAGTCCTGCTGCTTGTTCTGCAGCTGCATCTTGCTCGACCGATCTTGCTGGCCGCGGAGGGTGATGACGTCCTTCAGGGAGCAACCGGTGTCGTTGCTCGTGCTCGAAGACGTCGACACCGACGAGGGCGACAACTTCGGGTTCTCCTTCTTCTCCTCGAAGAGATTCTCAAAGTTCGACTCGTATCTGTCCTCGTCAGAGTTGCCTCTCTGATACAAGGAACCTCTGGGGCCAGGCCAACTGCCGGACAAGCTCTTCAGGGCGGCTTCCGTTTCCCTTATAAGCGTCTCGTCGTCCTCGGGCTCCTCACTGTGCTTGCTGGACTTTCTGGCGGGGCTGCCGGAGTTGCCCGACGCGAACGCGCGCTTCTTCTGCGGCAGCGGTATGCTTTTGTTGGGATCTACCACGACGTCGACGGCCATCGTCTTTCGCGCGTCATCGTCGCGGATGCTTTTCCTCCTCCGCTTCGCGGCCGCGTCCGACGACTCCATCTCTTGCGGCGCGCTCGTCTGCAGGCCCTTCTTGCTGATCAACAATTGCTGCTGTTGCGGCTGTGGTTGCTGCTGAGTTTGCTTAGGGTTCTGCGCGACCGACTCTGCTTCCAGCTTCCGCTTTTTGAGGTGAGCCATCGCATTCTGTCCGCCCGGCACGCTGGTCAGTTCCACCCTGGAACACAAAAATTCCAGAGGATCAGCAAGTCCGCGCTGCCATATGCGGGCGCAATGAGGGACGCGCAGTGTGCGGTTCGGTACACGAGAGAGTGCAACCGGTCGTCGAGAGCCCGAGGCGGCGAGCCGGCGAGAAACGAGGCCCACCGCTCGCTCAGCGTCCGCGCCGCTCTTTCCTTGCGGAAGATACCCAGCGCCTGCCCCAGCCGCCAGCCTCTTCTCTTTCTCCCTCCATTTTATCTACTTAACAGTGCATTCAAAGTCTAAGGGACCGTCTCTCAAGAGAGTTCACCTGTGACATCCGCAGAGGGTCGTCGAGAGCGCGTCGCCGCGGATCCGGAGGGTCACTTTCCATGCAGCCGATGTGCGTCCGTGTCCCCCTCTCTCTCTCTCTCTCTCTCACTCTCCCTCTCTCTCTCTCTATCTCTCTCCCTCGCTCTCCGCTCTCTTGGTGAACAATCGCCTTTATTGCGCTTTTCGTGTATATATTATTTCTTTCAACTTTCTTCCCTATATATATTTCGTTTTCCTAGCGAGGCACACTGTATGTATCTTGCTTCGTCCTTGCGACGGACTCGGGATGATTCCGACGGGCACTGCGCGACACGCACGCGCGCATGCACACAGCGAGGACACGCGTGCTCGACAAACCGCCGATATCTATATATATATGTATATATATACGTGTGTGTGTGTGTGTCTATATATATATATGTACACGTATACATATATATATATATATATATGTAGGTAACAAGTCCGGCTCGTGTGCGCGATGGTCCCTTTCAGACAGGGTGCTCGCGAGCTACTGTGCTATGTTTAAGTTCGTTCGGGGGTGGCGATCTTCCGTCGCGCACGGAGGGGATGAAGACTTGCGCGGGCAGCCGGCGGCTTCTGCTTCGTCGCGAAAAGTGGGGGCGGGTTCTGCGCACTGTCCACCCCCTTGAGCTCGGCTGGAGCACGATTCCCAGCCCCTCTGCACATCCCCCTCGCTCACCTCAACCTCCCCCCCCCCATCCCCCGCTTCGAATATCGGAGAAGGGGACTCGGTTCCTGGGTGCACACCTAGGACTCTCGCTCTCTCTCTCACAGTGTGTTGAGGTACGTGCTCCGTACACCTCTCTCCCCGGTTATATCCACCCGCGTCTATACTACCCACCATCCGTCCGTCCGTCCGTTCGTCCGCCCGCTCAACCCCTTCGCGGACCCCCGCGTTTACTGTATGTATGTACGTGCTACCTGCTCCTCTTTGCCGCCTTAGGAATCCGAGGCAACACCGGTCCCGGCCAGCGACCTCGCGGCTCTCTCTCTCTCTCTCTCTCTCCATCTACCTCTCCCCTTTTGCGACTCGCGAGTTCTTCGTGTAGCCGGCTTTTGAAAGGGGAAGTCAAATCTCTCCATCGTCTCTTTCTACCAGAAATAAACTTGGCTCACGGCATATTCGTAATTTTCCCCCCTCGTGCATTCCCGACTAACGACGAAGCTGGCCATCGGGGCGAAGCGCAAGGTCATTGCGGCTTTATGATTAGTTAGCGACGTGCGTGATCCCGCGAACGGATCGCGCACGTATCGACGCAACAGATTTTTCGCTCTAAACGGCACTTACGTATCCTTGCGATTTAATATCAAAGATCGATCGTTTGCGGTTACACGAGGTTAGTAACGAGTTATCTTTTTCCTCCCGATGTCGCCCGCTCGATTCATCTCGCGTCAAATGAATCCCGATCTGTGGACGTCTGACAAAATATCGCAACGGGAGTAATAAGTTATCCTTCCCCCTTCCTGTGCGTTGACTTGTAAGACTTTAGCCCTTTAACGTGCGCAACGTTCGCCCTTCGGTGCGCTATACGTAGGGTTTTGCAGCGATAGGAGGAACCTACAACTGGAATTAGATAAACCCGGGCTGCCGGAGGTGGCGGACGCAGAAGAAGAGCGGGATCAGCGTCAGCGCTTAGCGGAGCTCCCTAGGATCCCGAGGAACGAGAGAGCTTCCCTTAAACCTTAAACCCTCCTCAGACCACGTAGCCGGGAGTTTAGAGCGACGAACTCCTGCGAGGGACCGCGGTAGGGAGGACGGCGGGAGTGCCCTCGTCCAAAATCGGAAGTTAAATCGCACCGACGGCTTAAGACATTATCACTTTTCTTTGCGGACCAATGCTCTTAGAACTGGCCTTCGACGGTGGAGAAAGCGGGAGAGAACGCGGTGCGAGAGAGCTGGAACGAGTGAGCGGGGAGAGAGACGGGGGAATTCGGAGTAAGAAAATGCGAAGCCAGAATCCCTTCGAGTTGGGGATCGATGCGTCCTGGTCCACCCTCCAATTACGTGTCATCCCTTACGGTCCGTGGGGAATAATTAGAAAGCAAGCGTGGCCCCTGGCACGGGCGAATAGCCACAGATGTGCTACGTAAAGGTAGACTTTAAATTCGCGCGAGCGATCGAGCGAACGGGCGAGCGCGCGCTCGGCAAGAAAAGCTTCCTCGCGACGTCGAAGTCTCCGCCGTCGGCGGCCGGCTAGCCACCAGCGTCTCTAATGTCGCGTGAAGTATCGAGTGCGCCGTAATTATTGCTCGTGGAGTTACTTCGCTCGTTAAGGCGTCGTCGATATCACATGCGCTGTCGAATAATATAGGATTTCAACGACACACCGCGACACGAGAAATTGCCACCGTGCTCGCCGACTTTATGAATGTAATACGAGCGTTCCCTGGCCGGGGCTGTAAAGAAACGTGACGTCGTGGGTGTCATTGAGTGTTATTATCGAGTGTGTTATGTAACACACCGTCGAGCGGATTCGTAGTGTTGTTGAAGTCGAGTGTGCCGCAAGGTTGAATGACGACGTCGAGTCGGGCGAATTTTTCTGAGATTTTCCGGGAGGTAGACGGCCGCCCGGAACAGCTGAGATCTGTGCTCGTTAATTAATTAACATGTGCCGGCCGTGGTGCGGCATAGGTAAGAGGATGGTTAGACGGAAACACGACGACGCGGACGATGGTGCTTCCATCGTAGGGATTAGGGTATTAGGCGACGTCACGTCACTAAAGTCTAAAGGAGCCTCCTCGGAACTGTGCTCGGAGAGATAGCCGAAACTTGCGCTTCTCTATCTTCCCAGCGGTTCTTCGGATTCTGTCTTTCGCCCTTCCCGTCTCCCTTACGCCCCTCGCTCGTCCCCTCTCGCTCCGACTCTTTTCTCTCTCGTTCTCTATTTCTCACCGTCCTTCCCCTCCTTCCGCCTCGCTCGCTCGTCCTACACGCGGATCCTGCCTCCCCCTATTCTTCCCGTTCTCACCCCTTCCGATTCTCGGTGCTTCTCTCTTTCTCCCTGCATCTATCTCGCCCTCGTTCTCTGTCTTTGGTGTCCTTCGCCGGTCCTAGCGGCTGCTTCTTCAAGACCTCGACAATTCCAATTAGATAAACCACCGACGGATCACAGCCTCTTAGCGGTTGAGCTCGACGGCGCGCGGCGGTCTGTCTCATCGGCTGCGGATTTGCGTCGGATCGGATACGCTCACGGAATATCGGCGTTAGCGTGTACGAAGTTCGACCAGAAGACAGTCCGCTGAATCGACCGCGCGATTAGAGCGACGAAGCACGATGACGGATCATCGGCGACGGACCGAGGCTCGGGGATGACGAAGATGATTACAGTTTCTCGCGGCACGAGTTGCTTCGCAACTGCGAAAATCGCGCGCTGGAAACCTCCACCGCGGCGCTTGTCGAGGGTGTTTCCGAGGAAAGACGGTCATACGTCTTTTTCTCGCCGACGTGCGAGGGTGGGCGAGATCGGCGCTAGGCGAGCGCCGGATAATTTAGGGGTCTCTCACGCGTGGATAATGGGGAACTTGGCTAATGCACCCCACTTGGCACCACGTGGATTCGCGTGAATTTTGCGATTCGACCTTTGTGCCACCCTCGTTCGCTGCTGCTAAAAGGCCGCCTATGAAAACAGCGATGAGCGCTGACTGGGTCGCCGCGATCGACGATAATTTCATGATTTATAACTCTATTAATTAAGAGCGCACAGTGTACAGTAAAACGGTAACCCCCTTCAATTGCGTCGCCTTTACGAATTAAGAGAGATTACATTATAATATTTAATTATTCTATATCATATACACGATTTAGCTTCATCTATAAACATTAATTACCGCCTTCTTTTAAGATGCAATTTTCTGATTTAATGTTTCCGCGACTACAAACCGCGTAGATAAAAATTACTGAAATAAAATTAATTTTTAAATATACAAAAATATTGTATAAGTTGTATTGTCTACAGGAAAGTTCAATTATCAACTACTGTTACTCAAAAATTACCGACGTTCTCGCATTGGAACTACTACCCCGCTTTTCTTCTGCTACGCTCTTTAGTCGAATGAATAGTTTCAGCGCGCACAGTGTACAGTAAAAAAAAGCTTTCCGTTAACGATGCGATAACGGTAACCCCCTTCAATTGCGTCGCCTTTACGAATCTCGTCCGAAGTTAACAGCACCGGGATTGGCTTTATTTCCGAACTGCCTCGAGATGCCACCGTTATTCGTTCCTCTATAGCCACCCTCACGATGGGAAAGAGGAAGGGGGGAACGAGGGAGGGAGCAAAACAGACGGAGAGGATTTTAAAGCGAACTCAGGTTACGACTACGCCGGTGGAAGAAGAATGCTGTGACTGGGACAGCTGAGCTGTCCGGTTGGACATCATTCCGCTGTTCGGCTCGAGGGAATACTCTGTCGTCTAGCTACTAACTGTCTGTCCATTCGTCGAGCTTTTTCCCTCCTCCTCCTTCCCATCCGCTTTTTTTCTCTCGTTCGTCCCACGAGCGCGCCCTCGCTTACCGGCTGACGTCTTAACCCAATCGAATTCTGATCAAATATTTAGCGCTGACCGGGCCAACGCTTTAAGTGGCTCCTCCATCGTCGGACTTTGCTCCCCAGCCAATAAATCTCTTACTTTACTTTTCCTAAAATTTCAGCAGATCGACGAATTTCGCGCGGTCCTCTCGGA